AAAAAAACACATAGTAAGCACTGTTTTATGAAAAATATAATGGAAATTATATAATTTATATTTCGATCTACAAAGACCAAATTAGTCATACTTAATCTTCGAACCCGACTCTAGTCCAGTTTAAGAGATCATCTCCCTCGGTTTGGAGTACCCTAGGATCATTAATTAAAATATAGTCTTCTTGATAGGCTTCGTCTAATGCTCCTTCTCCTTCCGTCGCGAACAAATTTCTTGGTCGCGTTTCAACCACAATTTCCCAATTTGGATCTCTTAAAGATTGCACATAATAAACTTGAATTGCTTGACTAGCCAAAACAAATGGCTCATCTGTTCTAAGCTTCGCGTAGTGTTGACGGTAATAGTGTCATGTCCATCTTTCCTGTAACCAACGCCTTCGCGAGCGGTGTCATACCACTCACACTGAAATAATACAACACGAAGCCCTTCCGTTTCCGTATAACGAAGCTCGATGATATCGGTGAGAACGCCATAGTAATGAATTCGACCATCGTTCTCCCCTCTCACCATCACACCACTGTTTTGACTGCTTTTGGTTAACTCGCGAGAACGAGTGTGAAATCTGAATCCATTGATACAATATCCTGAGTAGTGCAGGACTCGTTTGTCTGGCTCTCGAGCTAAGGATAACAAAGAAGGATTCAAACTTTGCACTTTATCATTGTGCATTCGTGTAATCTGCAAATAATTGCAAGGATAAACTTAAAAATAGCTTGCGATAATTTTTAAATATGGAAATTCTTTATTATATATGACATGTATGTACCTCTAATAAGAACCACTTAGCAAATTCTTGCTTATGCACTGCTTCAACCATACGAACACCTTGATTACTTAGTTGTTCCTTGTGAGTTCTGTAATTAATATAATTAAAATAAATTATATTCTAGCATACAATAAATAAATAAGTATTGGTATATATGTATATGTACCTTATAAAATCTTGCACTTCATCACAGTTTTGTAGGACATAAGAAGCTGCCGCCTTCCACAAATAGGTATTGAAGTCTCTCATGTCGTCCTTCACACCAATGACACGACCGACACCCGGAACAACTAATAGGTCATGAGATGGTTGCGATGACGATGAAGATTTATCTACATTTCTCTCTGGCCGATTAAATATAGTATCCATTCCGGTCAAATATTGCAAGCAAAATGTGACACATTCATCAACAATATAAGCTTCGGCGATTGATCCCTCTGGACGTGCCTTGTTACGAACGTAACCTTTTAACTTCTTCAAATACCTAAATTGTTTAAAAATTGTCAAATTAACTACACAAAGTTTCCAAAATGTCAGTATATAACATAATTTTAGTGTAGTTATATAAGTAGCATACCTTTCAATAGGATACATCCATCGATACTGAACTGGACCAGCAACTTTGGCCTCCCAAGGCAGATGGATGGGCAGGTGGATCATTATATCAATAAGGCAGGAGGAAAAATACGTTCCAACTTACATAGGATTATGGCAATTTGAGACTCCAAGTAATTCAAATCTTCCACATTTAGCTCCTTGGAACATATGTCCTTAAAAAATTTGCTAAGCTCAATCAGTGTGTCCGATATGAACTTCGGAAATAAGTCACGGGCGGCTAACGGTAATAACCTCTCCAAGAACACATGACAATCATGATTTTTCATCCCATGTATCTTTCGGTCATCAACATTGACACAGCGTGCCAAACTTGCGGAGTAAGCATCTGGTACCTTAACTTTTGATAGCCACTGACACAAGGATTTCTTCTCTGCCGCCGTCAAGCTATATGCAGCTCTAGGTAACTCTGTTTTCCCATTCCTCTCAACAAGACGAAGATCTTCCCTTATACCCATCTCCTCCAAATCACGATGTGCACTTAGACCATCCTTTGTTTTGCCCTCAATATTCATAATAGTACCAAAAATACTATCACATACATTTTTCTCTATATGCATGACATCCAAATTGTGTCGTACTAAAAGCGATGACCAATATGGCAATTCAAAGAAAATAGACTTCTTTTTCCAGTTATGAGTTTTGCCAAACCCATTGATTTTTTTGCCTTTTCCCTTACTGCCGACAGGTATAGTTTGTAAAGAGAGAAGTTGATTTTTTACCTCTTCGGATGATAATCGCTCTGGTGCACGTCTTTTTTCTACAGTGCCGTTAAACTCCTTCTTTTGCTTGCGCCATTTATGATCCAATGGCAAAAAACGACGATGATCCATGTAACATTCCTTGCATCCTTTATTCAACCTCAAATGTGAGGTGTTCCCTGCGCAGGAAGGGCATGCCAATTTTCCTTTTGTACTCCAACCAGAAAGGAGACCATATGCAGGAAAATCATTGATAGTCCACAACAATGCAGCTTTCATGTTGAAATTCACTTGTTTGAATGCATCATAAGTCATTATTCCCTCACTCCACAATGACTTCAGATCATCAATGAGTGGTCGCAGGTAGACATCAATATTGATTCCTGGACTTTTCGGACTAGGAATGAGTAATGTCAATAATAGATATGGACTCTTCATGCATAACCACGGTGGGAGATTATACGGGAACAGAATTACCGGCCATGTACTATGCTAGTTATTCATGTTGCCAAATGGATTGAAGCCATCCGTTGCTAATCCCAATTGAACGTTGCGAGGTTCAGAACCAAAAGTTGCATCATACTGGTCCAAAACTCTCCAAGCTTCACTGTCAGCATGGTGCCTTAATTTGCCATCTCTGACAACGTTGTTCGCTATGCCACACCATATCCTCCGCAGTTTTCCGCGACATGAATCAGCGTTGTCATCTTGGTTTTATGGGAAAATATCTTAGTATCTTGTAGGGCACCTTGGTGACTCTTCCCCTACTATCCTTCCTGATTTTCTTGTACCTTGGTTTCTGGCAGGAAGGGCATGTCGTTGCTCCTTTGAGCTCCCCGTAGTAAATGGCACAGTCATTTTCACAAGCATCTATTTCTTCATAATTTAGTCCAAGACCACTCAACATCTTTTTTTCGTGATAGTAATTCTTCGGCATTGTAGACTGTGCCATAGGGAAAGTAGATCAAAGAAACTTCAATAATTGAGTAAAAGATGTATTACTCCAAGAATTGAACCACTTCAAATGCATCATCTTCACCAGGCATGACAGACTGGATAACTTTTCATCACAACCTTCATACAATGGCGTATGAGAATATCTGACCAGTTTGAAAAACTGCCCTGCCTCTGCATTGGGATTCTCGGGGTCAGGATCCAAATGTGGTCTCAAATCATTCAGTAACCCCGGTATGTCATCTACATCCATCTCATTACCATCGTCTACAACATCCTCTGCATCCTCCTCTTCAGAATAATCATCGTCTGATTTCTCTCCATGGTAAATCCATTTAGTGTAATCACGTGACATTCCTCGTCGTAATAGATGTAGCTCAACTTCTCGTTTTCCCCTTCTTATAACATTCCGACAGTCCACGCAAGGACACTGTATTTTGCTGTCTTCGTCTTGAATATTGGAGTATGCGAATGCGATAAAATTTTGAACGCCATTCGCATACTCCATAGTTGATCTATTATGACGCTGCATCCATGATTTATCAACACCTTCCATAACCTACAAAAAATGTACAATATATTTTTAATTATTGCAACTTGCTTAAATGAAATATAAACTTAACAATATATATGTATATATATTATTGCAATCCAATAATTGTATGAAATGTTTATTATCAACAAAATATAAATTAAAAAGCCTACATAATCATCTGCCCCTCTTCGCTTCAATAAAACAGGAGATATTTTTATTTTTTAATGTCAGATAATCAATTAACACTAAAATTTATTCTGAACAAATTAAAATGGAGAACAAAAACACTCCATCTTCCCCTCTCACCTCCTCGCATGCACTCTATTTACCCAAACCCTTCATCGATTTCATTTTTGCTCTCTTACCCAAAAGATTGTGGCCACTTCAAGTCTGTCGATGATGGAAGATTGGGGGGCGCGCAGGAGACGCGACGGTATTTCCAGTTGCCGCGATGGTTGGTGAACTGGGGTGCGTGTAGGCGACGTCACGGCCGCCGTCGATTGCTCCGATCGGCCGACGAACTGAGCAGCATGGACGAGGCGATGCAGCGGGAGCCCAAATCCTCTGGTGGGTCTGGGTTACGCGGCGGATTGCGCTTCGAGAGAGATGAATGAGGGCAGAGAGGCAATCTTTATTCGCCAGAATTTGGGTGCCTTCGCCTTTCTTAATCGACAGAATATAGGTTTGTTTGCTTTTGTCTTTCGATTGGATGTACAAGCAAATCAATTTATATGCATAGATGTGGATTTGAATGCTGCGGTTTGATTTCCTCAATTGCAGGTGTAAATCGAACATGCATGCACCCAGAAAGCATCTTAGAACTCTCTGATATTGGGACTGGATCTGAATTCCAGGTAATTAGTTTGTTCTTTGCACAATGGGGTCTGTTCTGATTTAGTTCAGTGGCTTTAACTTTGATTTGGTCAATGCATGTGGGTTGTTCATCCATGGTGCAATTCTTGTTCATCCATGGGGTCTGTTTTTGGTTCGTTTTCTTTGCAATTTGGTTCATTGTTCGCAGACTGTAATTAGTTCTATTCAATCCCCCCTAATTTGTCAATTATTGTTCATTCATGTAATTAAACCTTAATTGCAATAAACGAATTAATGCGTTAAATGAGTACAACAGCAGAGAGGGATCTATGGAACGAGATTTCCTCAGAAAAGGTAAAGAACCATAAACATGCTCTGCCTCTTCGTTAGCCTAAAAAAAAGGGGGAATTTTTTCCTTGTTTCCCACCACAACACAATAACTACAGAAAACACGCTTCATTAATAATCCCTAGATAACATAAACACGCTTCAGTAGGCAGAGCCAAATAAAGGAACCAAAAGCGTTTTCTTCGTCATCTGCGATTTCCACTTCTCTGCCATTACTCTCTTCCCTCTAACGAATTCTGCTTCTCACTAGATGGCAAAGCAAAAGAAACGCCTCCGTTCTCAAAGCCAGAGGGAAGAATCTGCACCTTGTTCACCTGTGCAGAGCAACTCTCCCTCTCCGCCTCTTGTTTCAGAGAATCAGGAAGAAGGACAAGGGGACAGGAACACCGATACGCTTGTTCCTATCACTGAAACTCCGAGAATGGAGAAAAGGTCCCCTGCTACTGAATTGGAAGGAGAAACAGAGCATGTTGATTCGACTGCTCCACATTCAGCTGCGGACCTGTCATCCGAGGGTGGAAGTTCGAATGGTTAGTTTCATTGTGTGGTTTTTTTTAATATTTCGTATGACTTACTTCTATCTTTACATTGTAGCTGACTATAAGTTCTGACCTTGTGATAGGGACGACCAAAAAAAGAGAAGGAAGAGGACCAGGATAGGGTGTAAAGCCTGGACACAACCTGTCCCTGGAATTTCATGATAACAGGTCTGTAATAATGTTCCTTGGAATTTTTTGCACAACTTGTCCCTGGAATTTTTTGCACTCAGTGTCTCACATCTTTCATGATAACCCGTCCCTGTACTCACTTTACTTAGTTTGATACTTATAAATAAACTGTGCAGGATAATTACCACTCAAGCAGCCCGTGAAATTTCAGCTATCTTCAAAAGGAGCATCAATGGGCCTTGGATTACTTTCTCAGAGTATCCTGCATCAGAACTCGAGACTGTGATAGCTCGTTTCAAGGACTCGGGATTCACTTACACTGGGTCAGAAGAGGCTTTCAACGATATGGTCAGAGACCACGTGAAGAGAAACTTTCCCAGTGGATGTATGGTCTCCGAGACCGGATTTTCAAGAAGTATAAGGATCTGAATCAGAGAATGAACCATCCACCACCGCAAATTAGTCCATCAATTTGGAGGGAGATGTTTCAGAAATGGACTAACCCAAATTGGGTGGTAAGTTAAGTGGGTGTATGCTTTGGTGTTTGTCTTTCATCCTAATCTGTTTTCAGTGGTGAGCTGATTGTTTGTTGTTTCGAATTCAAGGAAATGAGTGATAAGAATAAAGGGAATCGAGAGAAGAGTGAGCTTGCAGCCACCGGCGGTTCATCACCGTTGGCCAAGTACAGACATGAAGAGGTAAGTTGCTGCACTATTGCTAATGTTTATGTTAGGCTGCCAGTGTACTCAGTTTACATGTGAATGCAATTTTTCTTTTTAATTGATTGGTAGATAAAACAAACTGGAAAGAACTTGATCCGATCGAGATGTTTAGACGTTTCCATGTGAAGAAGGACAAGAACTAGGTTTCGTCAAAAGCAAAAACCATGCATGTAAGTTCAATAATGTTTACAGAGTATTAGGCTGATGTTTGTACTCGGTTCTGTTGTCTTTTTTTATTGATATTGATGTTGGATACAGAAAATTAGGCTGCTGTTTAATTTGTACTCATTTTTGTTGTTTTTTATATTGATGTTGATGTTGTTTACTCCATGATTAGGATGGAATGATACAAGCAGAGGCTGAAAAGGTATCCCAAGGGGAAGAACCAAACAAATTTGCCATCTATCAAGAAGTGATCAGACCACAACGCCCCAAGCGTGTTTTAGGAATGGGCCATGGGGTGAGCTCGGTTGATGTCTTCGGTCCCACATTGAGTCAAGGTAGTTAGGGTTGCAGCAAGCGTTGTCAAGAGGATCGAACCAAAGAAAGGGGGAAAAATGATGAGAAAATGAAGAAGTTGGAGGATGAGATCGTAGATGTGAGGAATGTAGTTCCTCACATTGTTGAATCTGTCTTGCAGAGACTTGGAGTGCGGCTGCCCGAGTCATTCAATATGGTATGTATTTTGCTGCCATGTTTTATTTTTTACTCTTTACATAATTTTCGAATCTATGGCTAATTTATTTGTTATATTCTATGTAGGATCTCAACAGTGAAGCAAATGGGGAACAAGGTCGAGTTGGGGAAACTCAGGGCAACGATGTGGCCAACGACGAGTCCGACAACGAGTCCGATGAAGAGACTGCCGAGGAGACTGCTGCTGATGCATGAATTTCTTTTTAATGCTATCGTAGGATTCTAAGTATCGCTTGACTTTGGGATATTTTGTGTCATTTTCGGAGGATATTTTGTCTTTTGAAGTTTGGATGTTTGGTCGTAGCTGATGGCTACTTGTTAGACAGTTTGAAAGTTAATTTTGGAATATGCATAACTTTGTTTGGATGATTAGTTTGTGTTGTCATCACTAGAAGTATAATGGCGTCACAAATGAAATTTGATCAAGCAATTAGAAACAAATGTCGCCGTCTTAATAGATGTAATTGCACAATTGACAATAATTAAGCGTCATTAGTAAATGTAGTTTCTCCGACGACGTGCTGGAAAAGATAATTGTTGGTGATAATTAGTTGTCCTCGGTAAATATATTTTTTCCAATGACACATTGGAAAAGATTTTTTCCGACGATAAACATATGTCCTCAGTAATATAAATATAACCAACGACACGTGAAAAAAGATTTTTTTAATGATTAATAGGTGTCATCGTAAATAAAATCTTTTCCAACGTGTCGTTGGATAAATTTTTATTTATGATGACAACTATTCATCATAAAATTAATCTTTTCCGACGTATCGTTGGATGAATTTTTATTTACGATGACAACTATTCATCATAAATTAATCTTTTCCGACGTATCGTTGGATAAATTTTTAATTACGATGAATAGTTGTCCTCGGAAATAATAATTCTTCCGACGACACGTCCGAAAAAACATAGTTTTAACGACAATTTGTCGGCATCAGTAAAATTTATATTTTTTACTAAACGTCGGTAATAATATATTAGTGACACATACACATCATCATAAATGTATGTACACCGTATTAAAAAAACGTTCGACCTCAATTTCTGGTCACAAATAGTTATTTTCGATGAATTATGGACGTTAGTATAATTAGTATTTAGGACGTCTCGTCAGAAAAATGGTTTACCTACAAACATAATGCGTCAAAAATAAATTAAACTGTCATAAAAAAAATTCGTCAAATTCATCCGTCATGAGTGATTTCTTTTGTGACGTCATTTATTTTATTACTAACGTATTCATGTCGTCAATAATATTGTAAATTTGACGACTTGTCAATAATATTATTATTAGCAACGGGACAATTTCTGACGACGTTTGACGACGAAATGTCCTCGTAAAAGATATTTTCTGACGAAATATTATCAATTATGACGAAAATCGTGTCGTCGGTAATGACTGCCTTTTTTGTAGTGAACAATAAGCTATACACCCCATTACATTATCAAATTTCATATCTCACCTTCCTCTGGCCAAATTGTCGGGGCCCACGCTAGTTTACATTTATGGTCGAACAAAAAATTACGTACTAATCTCTCAATTTACATTCAAGGCTGAACAAAAATTCATATTGACAATCAAGAAGTAGTATCACACATGTGATCCACTAACTGCCAAGCCAACTGATAACCTATGTAGCAATTGGAACATTTTTGCTTATGTCTTATGTGCAACGTTTTCACGTGTGAAGGATCCTTGTGAGAATTTGCAGGTTTACAACATGATTGAGTAGAAGAGAAGAACACGTCAAGTTTCCTTTAACTAGACCTGTACGACAGCTTACAAGGAAACAGTGATGTTCAGATTCAAGCGGTATCCAACTCTATAGGACACAATGTCGTCGTATGACAACAACTTGGTTTAAGAAGAATAACGACTACCAAGTTAATTAGTGACAGATGGCATCCTGTAATTAGTCCATTCCACTGTTAGTTAAATGTTACCATTAATGTACACTACAATGTTTATGGATTAGTAGAGATATATATACAAGAAGAAAAACAGAGAAAGACATTCAGTCGATTCTCTCATACAAATCGTCTTCCTCATCTACTGTCAACTCTGACATTTTCTGCTACTAGGTTAAATCTTTCTCATGATATCAGAGCCTGATTGGCTACACATTCGACGCCAATTCCTTTGATTCACTTCCGTCTTTCGTTTTCTTTCTTTTCAAAACCTCACAATGTCCGATGGAGAAGACTCGAGTGTCGGGAAAGACAAGGAGGTTCCTCCTACTTCTCGCTATGAAGATCCATACAACAGTCATTCCTACTTAGCACAGAGCGACAACTCTTTTTGTCATGTCATCAGCTTCAAGCTCAACGATTACAACTACTTACTATGGAGTGAGTCAATGGAGGTGGCTCTACGCACCAAAAACAAACTAGGGTTTGTCCTAGATACGATTCCGGTCCCTGATCTCACTGACCCTTCTTATGGAACATAGGATAGGGTTAATGGCACAGTAGTTTGCTGGATTCATGATTCAATTTCAGAGGATATTGTTCCTAGTCTCCGAAACATTAAGGTTGCTTATGAGTAGGGTGGGCATTGGGTGGGTAGGGCGGATTTTGACCATAAAACGCACCCACCCACGCTTAAACGGATTGACAATTTTTAACCCATCACCCACCCATATTTAGTCTCGGGTTAGGTAGGGCAGATGGTGGATGATGCGTGTGGATTTGTGGGTTCACCCACATCACAATGTACAAGATATAAAGGAGTCAACATGAAATGATAATCGGTGGAGAGAGTTATCGGGTGGCAACAATAAGATGGAACAAGGAAAAAATGTTGAATTAGTTCTGAAATTTGATAGAAATTCTATTATGAAGGAGTTTTCCACCAAACCAATTGAGAGAACCATGCCTCCAAAGTATGTACCCTGAACACGGATTTTGACTTGGCCAAATTTTGCCTTTTTTCTTCCCAACTTCGATAGCTTCTTTGTCAAGTAATTGTGACGTGAATGGTTGGCAATTTGGGATCATATCATAAAACAAGGACATCAAATTGTAGACAATATTATACTAATTCCAAGTTGTTGTGGGATGAAAGTGACAACTATTTACCCATTCCCTATTGTGATTGAGCATCCAAGACCTATGAGAGAGTAATCAAGTATTAGGAACGTGCTAGGGCTATACATTTTTATCAAGCCAACGATGATAAAAAGGAGTAGGGGAGGTGGTGTCGGCAATGCAACTCACCAACCGCACCCAACAACCCTTCTTGTGGGAGTTAGCATCTGTGGGGTGCTCGGTAGGGAAGAATCTCCGATGGATGAAGTCAATTTGAATTGCTAGGAATTTGTGGGATTGACACTCTTATAATTGATGAAGCCTTTGAGAAGTTTCACTCGTACAATTATGGGAAGAAGAAAGGAACAGTTACATGGGGTAAAATAATCCCTATACCCAACACATAAATATGTATGCGCCGTAGAATACAGAGGAACGAGAATGCGATATTGGCTGCTTACGTGAATAGGGTGAAAGGTGAGAAAGGATAACGTGGAGGGGGTCTAATCTCAAAACCCTTTAAATATTTGTTAAGATTAAGATTAAGGTTGTCAAATTAGTTTATAGTTTTAGTGATATATTTGATTTGATAAGATTGGTTTATGTCGATTTAACTTTCGAATTCATGAATAAATACAAATTCATTTTAAATTACATTCACTAAAATAACATTGTATTGTTTAGAGAACGTAAATCCATCATACCAGCCATACCAGTGGTATTCACAACCATGCTCTAACCCATTTTCATTTCCATATACCCAAATTCATACATGGCTCATGCCATTGCTGGGATAGTTCATAATTTGCAACCCCACTCTCATACCCACGATTTTTTGGGTATCGCTGGGTACTATCCGTCCAATATATTCAATATCACTATAAGTAAAATTCAACATGTTGATCTTCATTTATAACACTAAACATATCTAAAAAATTATGAAATCAACAAAACTGCAACTATTCTCATGGAGTATCAAATGTTTCACCTCATATTACCAATAAAAGATACTTTATAAAGTTACATTACTAACTATTATACATTTACAAGAGGAAAAGTGGCATGTAGATCTTCATTTGTAACACTAAACATACCTAATAATTCGTGAGAATGGGTCGTTTGGAAGTTGTGATTGTTAAATAGATGTATTGTTGAGAATGCATGTATAATATTATACATGTATTGTCGAATTTGATACACTGTAGAATACAACGTTTGATATGTGTGATTGTGTATGTCGCATCAGCTAAAAACTGAGACAACAATCTCAACAATCACAACTAAAAGTTGAGATATAACAATCACTCAAAATGAGTGATAGTTTCTGTCACATCACAGAAACAATTCATGTATTGTTTCTGCTAAAAAAACAATGCATTGTAAATAATACATGCATAATGACAATCTCAACAAAACTATCGCAACTTTCAAACGACCCCGAAATGAACAAAACTGCAACTATTCTCATGGAGTATCAAATGTTTCTCCTCGAATAACCAATGAAAAATACTTGACAGAGTTACATTACTAACTATTCATACATTTACAAGAGGAAAAGTGGTCAACCAAATTTATCTTGTGGTTACCTGATTGACAATGTGGTCAACCGACCAACTTTGCGGTCTAATTTGTAAAAGTGATCGACCAAACCTAATGTATTTTATGGTCTACCAAAACCCTACCGAATTCCATATGAGATTTACTGGACTTTACTGCAATTATATTGAATGATCCGTGTTTAATAGGAACTACATGAGTCGGTTATCTCAATGGACAATTCTCATGTATGTTCATGATAAATGTTTTTTTTTTTCCAAGAAATGTCAAGAGAGAAAAAACTATACATTCTACCCCAAAACCCTCCCAAACCAATACATCAGTGAAGCCACCCTACAAAGTCGAAGGAACCGATCTCAAGAGGAGAAAGTAACAGGGCTTACTGCGCCACTCTATGGGCAGCCCCGTTAGCAGTTCTAGGAACTGCCTAAACTCTAAGGAAACAGAAACTGAAGACGGGAGGTGGAAGTAATCATGAAGCACCGGACCTTCGAGGGAATCTGAAGAAATGCCCTGGCGAAGTTGACGAATCACCACTTCTGAATCACTTTCGATGATGACACAAGGAAGGGACTTGGAGACCAAGAGGGAGATAGCGTCTCGAGCTGCAAGAAGTTCTGCGAGGTAGGGGTCAACAATGTCTAGGTGCTGGAACCCTACTGCCAATGCCACATGCCCATCTGTTCCATGAACCACTAGTCCAGACGAGCAACCGAAAGCACGAACCGCAGCATCAAATTGATCTTCAGATAGCCAACAGGAGGAGGGATCCAAGAGGTGAGGCGGGAGTTTGAGGGCTGAAGGGGAGGGACGGGTACCGGAGTTAAAGAGGAAGAGACTTCGCGGACTTGGAAAAAACATTGACGAGCTAGAGACTGGGCATGAGGCTGATAATGCTCAAATACCACCTTATTTCGAGACTTCCAGATTCTCCACAATACGCAAACGTATAGGAGAACATGGGTTTGGGGGTGCTCAGAAAGCATAACATGTCGCCACCAGAGACTGAAATTCACAGTCGGGGCCGAGGTTTTATTAGCTGCAAGCTCTGTCCCACAAATACTTTCAAAATCATAAATTAATTTTGGAAGTCTGAAATTAATTCTATCCCATAAATTGGGGGATAAACCAACCATTAAAGGTTGTAAAGCGCCATAAATGAATCGCTTTAGTGACTCATTAATCACTTATAATGGATCATTAAAGACCCAATAACAAAAAATACCATAAATGATGTATTAAAACTTAATTAGGGCGAAATGATCAATGGGTCCATTAATTGGTCATTTACTTCTCGCCGGAGGAAGATTGATTACAGGGATCGTCGGACCAACAGTCACCAGAGACATGTGTTTCCCGTCGGCGGAGGAGCTTCTCAGCTGGCCGCCGCTTAATGAACCTTTCCACCGCATGAAGAAGCTACATACAACAGATTAACAAGTAGAGCGCTCTGTTTATTTCATTTTCCCCCATTTGTTCCGATTACACAAGAGCATCGGCTCCGGCGACGATCTCTAGAATCTCGCCGGTGATCTTGGCCTGCCGCCGCCGATTATAAACATTCGACAGTGTCTTCTTCAGCTCCGAGGCAATATCCTTCGCGTTGCTCATCGCGCTCATCCTCGCGGCGAGCTCACTCGCCAGCGATTCCTACAGCGCCTTGAGAATATGGCTGTTCAGATACAGGGGAAGCAAAGCATCCAAGATCTGAACGGGATCCTGCTCGAATTACAGAATCGGCAAAAAATCAGGAGTCACCGTCCTCACCACACCCCTCTCCACCGTCAATTTCCCTTCTTTGGTCGTCAGCCGGAAGAACTCATCCTCCGCGGCATCGACGCAAATCTCATTGATGTCGCAGACTTGAGAATAGGGCTTGTCGTCGAGTTCGTCGTAGTAGCAACATTCGTCGTCTAAAAGGGGGAAATCTCCGCTCCGGGGAGAAGCCGAGGAGATACGGCAGAGGCCCCGGGCGGCGGCGGTAAAGGGTTTAGGGAGGGTTTTTGAAGTTGGGGGAAAGAAGAGATTGGGTTTCTGAGGGCATTTGGAAGTGGAGGATTTGGAGAGGGAGGAGGTGTTGGCGGCGGTGGAGGTGGTCACATTAGGAAGAATTTCATCGCTACAAATTATGATAAATGTTGATAGATCGAGTAATATTCGTGGACAAGAGTCGTGGCAGTTGCCTCATTATGATGTATATATTTTTTTCGTTACAAAACACTTTTTTAACCAATATTTGAAAAATGAACGAGTTACATTAAATTGTGACTTGTGAGTTGTGACCATGAGGCTAGTTTGACCCTGCTGTAACTGTTGCTGAAGCATTTTCTAGTTTGAGTTTTTTTTATGAATTGGTGTTTCTATATATCATCAAAAAGGGTCCAAAACTGTGTGGCAACAACCCTGCCAAACTGAGTTTCAACAGAACAGTACCAAGGCTATACTAATTACACTTTTGCAACAAAAGACACTACTAAGAACCAAGAGCCAAAGCTGATCAAGACCAGAAACTACTCAGATTTTCACCTGGAAACAGCACAACTATATCATTCTTGATTCTGATAATAATCTCCACGACCTGCTGCTTCTTACCACCACCAAACTTCTGCAGACATCTTTCTCGCCAGATAACACTGACCATAGCTCTCCAGATTGCTCTAGCCACCTGTGCCCCCACCTGCTTCCCTTTAAGCTGAGAAGAAGCCCACTGCAGTTCAGAGCTCCAGTTGTCTGTTGGAATCCTAGGGTAAGCTCTAGCCAACAAGCCTGCAAACAACTCTTTAAACATACAACATTCACTAAACAAATGGTCTCTCGTCTCCAAAGGGCAAGGGCAAAACACACAGTTAACATTTCCACACCCCCCCCCCCCCACTTTATCACTGGTGGTAATATAATTCTTGATTACCAACCACACTAGAAATTTATCCCTAGGAGGAGAAGGACCTTTCCAGGTTAAAGAATACCATGAAACAGGGGCTTCTCTATGCCTAAAAGATTCCAAACAAGACTGATGTTATATCTTTTCATCAACTTTCCATTCCACCAGAAGCTTCGATTTGGAGCTTCTGCTTTTATGTTATACAAAAGCCAAACTTTTAGAGGTGTTTGACCCTGCTTTAATTTTTGAAATCGAAAAACACTTTTAAAAGTCGGACTAAACATAAGCTATAGTATACTATTCTTCGAAGGAGCCAAAAGAGCATAACAATAAAAGTAAAAACCAAAGAATTAAGAAAAATTGTTAAAAATAGCAGATCAAGATGCAAAAATCAGTTCCAAATGGGCATACAAATGATGATTTGTCCTTAATCAATCAAGCAAGTATCTCACTCAATATATAATTTTTTTAGGCTTAATTGCAAGTTTGGTCACTCAAATTGCTATAAAATTTCACGTTTGCAACTCAAATTAATTTATTCCATTTATAGTCACTCGAATTAGTTGAACAGTTCAAGTTCGGTCACTCTCCGTTAACTTTGACTGACGTGGCGGTCAACTTTGACAGTTGACCGTTAAATGTGTGACGTGGCAAATAAAAATTAATTAAAAAATAAAAATTAATTTTTTAGAAATTACACATCATTTTAAAAAAAATATAATTATAAAAAATGAAAAAAAGAAATTATCACAAAAAAAAGAAATTAATTTATTCTTAATTGCGAATCATATTTTAATTATGATCTCATATGGTGGTTCTACAGGCGGAGCTGGAGCGGGTGAAAGTGGAGAATCTCCGGCTGAGAGACATGCTGAATCAAGTCGCTGATGCACGATCAGAAGCCGTCGTCGCTTCCGCCGCCGGCTGACAAGCAGGACAACAACGGTGAAGGACCGGTGGTGGTCCCCCGGCAGTTCATGGATCTCGGACTAGCGAATTCCTCCGCTGCGTAAATACGAGTGGAAGCAATATGATTTTTACAGCCGGGTGCGAGTCTTATGGAGACAGTCTTTACAGTCGCCGGGAGAAACCGAGTGGAAGCAATATGCCGATGCGGCGACGGTGAGATAGCCCTCTATGTATACCTTGCAGGAGGGCTCGTCCCCGGGCTTTGCTGTGTCAATCGCCTCTCCCAGTGAGATCAATGCTAGGCCTCTCATTTGGTCGCTGATTTCTTGCTTCAACCCGCAATCGCTATAGACCTTGGTTACGTTTGGACGGCTTTCCATGACGACGACGACGAAGTTTCCGTCGCTAAAGATGAACGCAGCCGCCAGAACAAGGACTGTAAATATTGGTGGTGTCATGATTATTATTATTTTGTTTAAAATGTTGGGGGATGGGAGGGGATTCAGTTCTTGAGTTGATGATGATACTCGCTTATTTGATTCGAGTTATTTATGTCTTTTTTTGTGATAATTTCATTTTTTTCATTTTTTATAATTATAATTTTTTTATAATGATGTGTAATTTCTAAAAATTTAATTTTTATTTTTTAATTATTTTTTATTTGCCACGTCACACATTTAACAGTCAACTGTCAGAGTTGACCGCCACGTCAGTCAAAGTTAACGGAGGTTAACGGAGAGTGACCGAACTTGAACTGTTCAACTAATTCGAGTGACTATAAATGGAATAAATTAATTTGAGTGGCAAACGTGAAATTTTATAGTAATTCGAGTGACCAAACTTGCAATTAAGCCCTTTTTTTTTAGTAGAGACTAGACTCGAAAGCACTGAAGTGTTCTTTCTTTCCTAAACCCGTTTAAGAAAAGCTCCATTTCCACTCTTATTTAGTCAAAACCCTAGAACGGGGGACGGCTGCGTGCGTAACTTCTCAGCTCACCGTCTCACTCACACAGAACCAGAAATGCCTCCGAAAGCCTCAAAATCGAAGGAGGCGCCGGCGGAGCGCCCGATCCTCGGGCGATTCTCATCTCATCTCAAGATCGGCATAGTAATCATTCTTACTTTCCTATCTTCTTCTTCGTCTAATTTCGCTGGTTGTGCCTTCTTAATACTTAGTCGTCGCCTCAGGTTGGATTGCCTAATGTCGGGAAATCGACTCTTTTCAATACCCTGACGAAGCTGTCCATACCCGCTGAGAACTTCCCTTTCTGCACCATTGAACCTAACGAGGCTCGGATTAATGTTCCCGACGAGAGGTTCGATTGGCTTTGCCAATCTTTCAAGCCGAAAAGCGAGGTTTGTCTCTTAACTTTGCCGTCTTCGTGTTCTTATACTCGAAGCATGATAGCATCTCCGTTGTAGATGGAAAAATTTGCTGGAGTACGGCGATTAAGCGATTGGTTGCTGCGTTAGTGAGCTATATAGTTTTCAACATTGTAATTGGAATGGTCTATATTGATTCGGGAAGTGCAGTTGCTGTGATCTGTTGTGCAAGTTGCAGCTTTGTGAGTCTCATGGATCAATGATGTATTCTGGCTGTTGCATTTCCTTGTTCTTTCCAGGTTTCCGCATTTCTTGAAATCCATGATATAGCTGGACTCGTTAGAGGTGCTCACGAAGGACAAGGGTTGGGCAACAATTTCTTGTCACATATCCGTGCTGTTGATGGCATCTTCCATGTCCTACGTAAGAGGCTCTGTACTTTATCTGTTCCATACAAACACTTTTGAATCCTGAGGATAGGCACTTGTCAGCTTTGATTTCTTATGTTTGTGGACTTATAACTGAGAAGGAGATTCTGGTTAGAGATAGCTGTGATTCAACTATGATGACTGTACATTCAACTGCATTTTCTTTATGGGAGAGTGGAGATCACTGCTGCTTGTCAGCATTTCTAGATGATTGCTTGATTCCCTGTTATATGTTTGGTGGGATTTTGTGGTTGTTACCTACATTAGATGGTTAGATATTAGAAAGTCCACAGAAAAGGGATACAAGTGTAAGTTAGCTTTCTAGCATCTACATTGACTGCGCTAGGCAGTGCGCTAGCAGTTGTTGATGGTAGTACTCTGTGGAATCAACCTTAATAGGTCCTTTGCTTTCTTGTTTTCTTTCAATCAATTTCCTTAGAGCTCATTTCTATTTTTAACTGTTGACGTACAATAGGCGCATTTGAAGATTCAGACATTATCCATGTTGATGACTCAGTGGATCCTGTCAGAGATCTGGAAACTATAGGGATAGAGTTGCGACTAAAGGTAACCATGATCGTGCATGGTATTTGAATTATGGTGCTCTTTCGTGTTTCTGAACCTCTGTTTTTAAATTTGTTTTGAAATTGTTATATAGGATGTTGAATTCATGGAGAGGAGGATTGAGGATATTGAAAAGAGCATGAAGAGGAGCAATGACAAGCAGTTGAAGATAGAGCTCGAGTTGTGCCAAAGGGTTTGTGCTCTATGAGTTCAGATTCATTTTTAGATGACACTTTAACTTTATCGCCATGTGTTATCTAGACGTGTCATGCTTTGAGTTCTTGTACCAGTTTGTCATATTGATGTGGAAGCAGTAGCTTAACACGTTGAAGACTGTTTCAGTTCTTAACTCTTCAGTTTTTTGCTTTTGGTTCTCTTTCTTATATAATTCACATCGAATGCAGCAAAGTTTGGTTTATTTCCTTGCTCATTTTATCATTTAAATTATTATCAGAGTTGAGAAAACCTATGCATTTTGTTTCAAATCAATATTTGTCCAATTGGCTTGATTGAATGTGTTATTTTTTTCCTAGGTCAAGGCATGGCTTCAGGATGAGAAAGATGTGCGCCTTGGAGACTGGAAAGCTGCTGATATTGAGATATTGAATACTTTTCAGTTGCTCACTGCCAAGCCTGTTGTTTACTTGGTTGGTTTTCCCTATGGCTCTTAGCCCTTGTGATAGACTCGGTTGCTATCTCTCTGTTCAGTTGCAATCTTTTCTCTTAAAGTTATTTACTGTCACAACTGCTAGATTATTTGCTTGCTCCTTATTCTAAACTATTATCAGACCTTAAGTCTTCCAAAATATTGTTGAAACTTGAAAGTACTATGCCCAATAAGTTGCATACGGTTTTTCAGTGTCAGTAGTGTTTATTGTTATCATAGGTTAGTTTCTTGCACTACTATGTTTAACAATTTGAATCTCTGCCTTCTTTACCGTGTACAGGTAAACATGAATGAGAAAGACTACCAGAGGAAAAAGAACAAGTTCTTGCCGAAGATTCATGCTTGGTATTGCCATCATTTAAGCCATTATTATGTAGACTCAGCATTTTGACAATTTCTGAAAGTTATGGGTCATTTCTTTTCTTTCAGGGTGCAGGAACATGGTGGTGAAACCATGATTCCTTTCAGCTGTGTGTTAGAGAAGAATCTGACTGATATGCCACCAGATGAAGCTGCTAAGTATTGTGAGGAGAACAAGGTACAAAGGTTAGTGACTAGTGGAAACTGGCTTCTGTACTGTTGTATGCCGGTTCAAATGTTTCTCTGTTCCTAATTGTTGAAGCAGTCGCAAGAATATACTTGACCATAATTTCTCGTTCAATTGTATTTACTACAACATTTCTACATGTTGCTCATATAACTCACTTAGCTTGTATGGATGGTGTAGTCCTGGTTGTGTAAATCGAATCATTCTATTTCCATTTGGGTTTAGTCTCCCATTTATTCCAGATTGCTGTATTGATTAAATGAGAGTTTTATTTTGCAGTGCTCTTCCTAAAATCATAAAGACCGGCTTCTCTGCGATCAATCTCATTTACTTCTTCACTGCTGGGCCTGATGAGGTAAATCGACTGTGTACTTGGGGGATTCTTTGCTGGATCCTGCTTTCCTTTTATTATTGTCTTGCGACCGTACCCGAATGCACAATGCCTCTGGGGTTTGAAGTGTCGTTATTTGTTTTTCTCTGAGCTTTGATAGTCTCAGTTACTGTATTTACTGTACTGTTTTTTTGTATGTTATGTTTTGTAAAGTTCCACTGCGGGTTGATGTCTGAAAGATCTACTTTTGCAGGTGAAATGTTGGCAAATCAGACGACAGACAAAGGCACCTCAAGCAGCAGGGGCAATCCATACTGATTTTGAGAAAGGGTTTATATGTGCTGAGGTAGCTTAATTTCTGACAATTAGTATATTTCTATAACCAGAAACTAAATAGACGTAGCTAGACACTAGAAAACTTGTAGGTAATCGTTTTCAGTTGCCTAATGCCTACAGTTTGGCATTTGACCTTGACCAACATTGACATGTCTCTTCCTTTTCATTTCCTCCCTCTCTACCCGTCCGTACTTGGCCTCCATATCCCTGTCAGCCTGGTAGTTCCCCAATGAAAGAGAGGTTCAACAAACATTTGAAGTTTGTGACCTGGTTATGACTTTAATTGCTTGTGGTTCTCTTGAATCCTCAGAATACCTTTTAAACGTAAAACATTATTAGCCACTTCTTTTCGGCGTGCCATGTTGTCATCAAAATACTTGTATCCTGTGCTATAAATTGATTAAGTTGCTCATGACTGTTCATCAAGTGAAGCGACTGACTTCCTACTTTTGCTCAGGTCATGAAATTCGAGGACTTGAAGGAACATGGCACTGAGTCAGCCGTCAAGGTACTTGGTCTGGTTAATTTGAAGTGTTTAACTCTCAACATTAATGCTACATGTCATCTTAAATGCGGCACAGCTTTTTACGTGTGTTTTTTCCCCTCTTCTGAACATGGGGGGAGTTTGAACTTTGAATGAGGGAATAAATACACATTCTAGAATTGTGGTTCTGTGGAGCATCCTAGGAATAAGTTACTGCTAGTCTCTCTGAGTACAATTTCCCATGAAGCTGCTAAAAATCCTTTTGTTTTCTGTTTCCCCTTATTTTGGTTGGGGTGTAAATACAGGCTGTTGGGAAGTACAAACAAGAGGGGAAAACATATGTTGTCCAAGATGGAGACATAATTTTCTTCAAGTTCAATGTCTCTGGAGGTGGAAAGAAGTGAGCTTTCGCAACCTGACAGGCATTATCTGTACCCGCCTGCCGCAAGTCGAGCTTCTAAGAATGTAACTGAAGTCCGATGTGTGTGACAACATAGTGTAGTCCGATAACTCAGCACGCTCTTCGATTTTGATCCGAAAGCGCTTGCTCTGTTTTTCGACAGCTACCTACATTTTGTGTTAAGAGCGTTGTACTCCCTTCTACCCATCCAAATACTTTGTGTCTTGTTAAACAAACCTCTTATTATAACGGATAGATGCATGAGAGCTGGACGTGATGAAGGTGTGACTGAAATTATGAATTACAGTACGATGATGTCTCCCTGTCTGTGATTTTACCTTTTTTTACAGTATATTGAATGATGATGGCAATGCACGGGTTTTGCTTGTTGGCTGCAAATGATGGCGGAATGATGGTTGTGTGGGTGGGAAGAGATCGTGAATTGGTTGTCTTCCCATGGTAAATGTTTCCTTGGGTGTTTCTTCTTCGTAATAATATTGCCTCCCATTATTAACTTTACAGGGGACCATTCCATCGGTAAAGGCGCATACAAAAGAGAAATTTCGACTGGAATCCTTCGTCCTTGATTAAAGTAAACACCTGGTTCTTCTATAATAATGGCCCAATTCCGGAAAATGCAAAACTGCGAGGGGAAAGAGAGGCAAAGAAGATGAAATTGAGCAGCAATGGCAATTTGCAGGTGCAGAGTAAATGAGAGGGGGACCGCCGTCGGCTCGTGGCAGATCTCATCAATCAAAGCTGCAGAGAGATCAGGGTTTGGTGGCGATGGCTCACTTGTTTGTGGTCCTATTCTTATGGCAATCAAGGTGTCCACTGGCCTCCGGCGTAGGGTGATGTGGCCGTCCGGTGAGCTCAACTACATGATTAGTAGCTGGATTCCCCTTTTCAATAGGAATGAGTTGCAATGTTCCACTATTCAGTAATCGGGTACCATTACGAATGAAAGTCGACTTATTTCTTACGAGCATCGGGTACCATTATAAATGAAAGTCGACTTATTTCTTACGATGCATCGTTTGTTTTTCTAAAATGCATAGATACAAACCTTTAACAATTGGCCGAATTTAGAGACGAATCAATCAATCAACGGAGCAACGATGGGTACCATCAACAACGAAACAACCCCACAGCCACAAGTATGTAAGGTGGGAGTGTTGGTTGTCATATCTGACGGTGTTGGGATGTAAATACGAGTACCACTAATTTTTATTGTGCATGAATTATTGAAGATTTTTGGACTCGTGCCCATTAAGTTAAACCCTTAAGGTCCAATAACACAAACCCTAGCCTAGCCTATATAAATGCTCTTAACCCTTTTGAGGGGGGACATTATTCTTTTTTCCCATTCTACATACAAAGCATAATTTTGCGGCGCAACCTTTATCGTTGTTGTATGCACGATCTAAACTAACTTGGCTCAAACAGAGGAATACCTCCCTTGCCAACAAGATTAAAAGAACGGTAACTTGTTGAAGAATTTAATTGATTTGAAGATTTTTCAGATATCTAATGAAGAATTTTTATATGAAAGCATTTTGTGCTTGCTATCCTCATATGTGGAAATTGAATGAATTTAGTATGCAACTTATAGTTTGTTTGTTTATTTAATTTATGACGTATGGCAGTCTGGACCCGCACCGGGTCAGTCATTATGGCTGCACCCAACTCACCTCCGGTGCGTTATTGTTGGGAACCGGCGAGCCAAATGAAGTGACGCAGTCACCCAAACCCACGCCGGCAGCGGACCCCAATCCACTGAAATCCCTAGTCAACAAGGCAACTGTGCGGGTCCCACTGGTCCTCTACGTGGCAGATCCACTAAAAACTAAAAACTGCATTTGATAATGCCACTGACGTCCGCCACGTAAAAAACGGAGATTGATTTCCTTTTTTCTGTACTCTCTCTTCACTTTTTGGCGGGTAAATCCCTAATTCTTCCGCTAAAACATTTTCCCTTCCCTCCTTCCCCCAAAGGAATCCAATAACACTTTTCCCGCTATCCTTTTTCCTGACAACCCGGCCTCTAAGCCCAGCCCGGCCCGCCCCTCAAAAGACCAAACGAAGCCAGTAAGCCACTCTTTTTAATTGACCAATTGCGAAAGTAAGTCTTCTACTAGGGTTTAATCCAAAGAAGAAAATCTTTTTACTAGGGTTTTTACTGGCCTTTGGGGGTGATTTGTCACCTTGCGCATGGCTTGTCACAGTCGCACCGCATTGAGACAAAATTAAGCTTATTAACTGTGCGAAAAGGGGTTTTCTTGGTATTAAAAATGAAGAACAAATGTGGGGTTTATGGAATCTAAGTGGACAGTTACTAGTTCGTACTCGTACTAATACTCGAGCTTTTTAGTGGCTGGGTCCCTTTTGCATTCATTCCTAAAATTTGATTGTTTTTGTCCAGGAGGATGCCGTCTTGAAGCTCCCATTTTCATTGTTGGCCACAGCGTGAGGGTGAGTTCATTCTTCTCATTTCTCTCTACCCAGCAGCTGTTCAGTGTGTTTGGTTGCTTTGAGTGAGTGAGCAAACGAAACCCATGTGCATTTTTTGTATTTGCAGGAGATTTGGCTTCCCTTTTTCTTTAAAGTTGAGAGAGTTCTTTTGTAGGGAAAGGATTCCCAACCCGGAACCACCCACCTCCCACATTGTTAAATCAAAAGTTTTGAGAGATCTTTTGTGGGAAAATGTCGTCTCTTTTACCTTTTTCGGTTGCTGTACACGGCTGGCTTTCGTTGTAGCTGGTTTTTTCGCCATTTAAAGCTCTCTCTGGGTCAGCTCTTTTGAAGACGAATCTTTACTTTCTCGAAGCTTGGAGGAGCTGGTGGTTGGAAAGGGTCTCACAAACTCGCCGGAGTTGGTTCAAGGTCTGTATTTGTCTTTTCCTCTCTGGGTTTTCTGCACATTTCCTCATTTACCCGCTGAATGGTTGAAATGGCTCGCTCTTGCTAGGTTTCCAGCTTCAGAGATCCTCGTTTCTGGTTGAAAAGTGGGTGGTGGTAGTTTCTTTAGTCGGAAAAACTTTCCCATTTTGATATTTGCGGTTGAGGTTACCTTACTGCTGTGGAGAGGTGAAGCAAAGGCATTACTACAGTACTATGAAGCTTTTGAGGTTGTTAGTTTTGTCCCTCCTGTTCCTATCTGCCATGGGGCAGCTCCCTTCACAGGATATCTTAGCTTTGCTTGAGTTTAAGAAGGGTATCAAGCATGACCCAACTGGGTATGTTCTCCAGTCATGGAACGAGGAGTCAATAGACTTCAACGGCTGCCCTTCTTCTTGGAATGGCATAGTATGCAATGGGGGAAATGTAGCTGGAGTTGTTCTAGATAACTTGGACCTCGCTGCAGATGCAGACTTGAGTGTTTTTGCCAACCTCACAATGCTTGTTAAGCTCTCCATGGCAAACAACTCCATAACGGGCCAGATTCCTGTAAACATTGGTGACTTCAGGAGCCTCGAGTTCCTTGATCTTTCCAACAATCTCTTTTCTTCATCCCTGCCTCCTGGGGTTGGTAAATTGGCGAGCTTAAGGAACCTCTCTTTAGCTGGGAATAACTTCTCTGGTTCTATTCCTGACTCAATCTCTGGGCTTTCATCCATTCAGTCCCTGGACTTGAGCCACAACTCGTTTTCTGGGGTAGTACCAGTGTCACTGACCAGGCTGAATAGCCTGGTTTTCCTAAACATGTCTTCTAACAGGTTTATGAAGAAAATCCCCAGAGGGTTTGAACTGATTTCGAGTCTACAAGTGCTTGACTTGCATGGAAACATGTTTGATGGTCGTCTTGATGGGGAGTTTTTCCTTCTAACAAATGCCAGCCATGTAGATTTCAGTGGGAATATGTTGGGTGGTTCTAGTTCAGGGAAATTATTGCCAGGTATATCTGACAGTGTCAAGTACTTAAACTTGAGTGGCAATCAGCTTACTGGTTCACTATTGAGTGGAACCGAGTTGCGCTTGTTCTCTAGCTTGAAAGTGTTGGATTTGAGCTACAATCAGCTATCTGGAGAGCTGCCTGGATTTGATTTTGCTTATGAGCTGCAGGTCCTCAAACTCAGCAACAATATGTTCACTGGATTTGTCCCCAATGACCTATTGAAAGGAGATTCACTACTTCTCAATGAGCTTGACTTGAGTGGAAACAATCTATCAGGTAAAGAGTTCTTAACTTTAATTTTAATTCCCCCCTAGCATTTACTTCGCACAATGATTTGCAAACTCCTGACATTGGACTGTGATATTCTTTCCAGGATCAATAACTGCAATTATGTCAACAACTCTGCGTGTGCTTAATCTCGCATCGAATGGACTCAAGGGGGAACTTCCTTTGTTAACAGGAGGCTGTGGTGTTCTTGATCTATCAGGCAACCAGTTTCAGGGAAATCTCTCCAGGATACTGAAATGGGCAAATGTTGAATACCTTGATCTCAGCAAGAATCGTTTGACAGGGCCAATTCCTGAGGCAGCCCCTCAACTCTTGCGTTTGAATTATCTCAACCTCTCCTACAACTCTCTTACTGGCTCTCTCCCAAGAGCTATTACCCAGTTTCCAAAGATGAGGGTCCTGGATCTAACTTCCAACCAGTTAGAAGGCCCACTGTTGACTGATCTTTTGACTTTGCCTACTCTGCAAGAACTTCACCTTGGCAACAATGCACTCAGTGGTGCCATCGACTTCCCTCCTCCCAATACTAAATCCAACCTTCAAGTTCTCGACTTTTCTCACAATCGTCTTGATGGGTATTTCCCTGATCGGTTCGGGTCACTGACAGGACTTCAACAGCTCAATCTTGCAGGAAATAACATTTCTGGTTCTCTACCAACTTCCATGTCTGGCATGAGTTCACTTACCTTGCTTGATTTGTCGCAGAATCACTTCACAGGTCCTATACCCAGCAACTTGTCGACAGCCCTTGCAAGCTTCAACGTTTCCAACAATGATCTTTCAGGGGTTGTCCCAGAGAACTTAAGGACATTCCCTACCTCTTCATTCTACCCTGGAAACACCAAATTAACTCTCCCAGGCGGCCCTCCTGGATCAAGCAATGCCCCAGCTGAAAAATCGAGGAGGAAACCAATCAACACAGCAGTAAAGATAGTAGTGATAGTTTCCTGTGTGATTGCAGTAATCATTCTCATAATGCTTGCCGTCTTCATCCATTACATCCGCTTATCAAGCCGATCTTCGGCAGACGAAGTCGCCGGGAAAGCCATCGGGAGCCGCCCGGGGAGCAAGATATCCGGTGTTGGCGGAAGCAGCGGGGGCGGTGGACCGTTAGTTGTTTCTGCAGAGGATCTGATGTCAGCTCGCAAACCTTCATCGTCCGAAATCCTGAGCCCCGACGAGAAACTGGCTGCTGTAACTGGATTCTCACCGTCGAAGCACAGCCGGGTGTCCTGGTCCCCAGAGTCAGGAGATTCGCTGCCTTCTGAAGCACTGGCGAGACTGGATGTTCGGTCACCTGATCGGCTAGTTGGTGAGCTGAATTTCCTCGATGACAGCATTGCATTGACCCCCGAGGAGCTGTCGAGAGCCCCTGCTGAAGTATTGGGCAGGAGCAGCCATGGCACTTCCTACAGAGCTACTCTGGATAACGGCGTGTTCTTGACTGTGAAGTGGTTGAGAGAAGGCGTGGCCAAGCCGAAGAAGGATTTCGCAAAGGAGGCGAAGAAGTTTGCCACTATCAGACACCCGAATGTGGTGGGATTGAGAGGATATTACTGGGGGCCGACGCAGCATGAGAAGCTCATTCTTTCAGACTACATCTCGCCGGGAAGTCTGGCAAGCTTTCTCTTTGGTAAAGTATCTGAAGTACACTTCTTCCCCGTATTCATTTCTGTCCACATTGTAGTGTAGTCAAAATTGCGCTGCTTTTACGCTTCATCACCCAAAACACTTCTACGCAGAATTGCGCTGTTTGACTGCATTGGTTGCGGTTTACCAAATTTCGCATAACCTTTCTGCAGATCGGCCAGGCAGAAGAGGCCCGCCACTGACATGGCCACAGAGGCTGAAGATCGCAGTGGACGTTGCACGCAGCCTGAACTACCTCCATTTCGACCGTGCAGTTCCACACGGCAACCTCAAGGCCACCAACGTCCTCCTCGACGGTCCAGAGCTCAACGCACGAGTCTCCGACTACTGCCTCCACCGCCTCATGACACAAGCAGGCACCGTGGTCCAAATCCTCGACGCGGGCGTGCTGGGCTACCGCTCCCCCGAGCTGGCTGCTTCCAAGAAACCTGCTCCGTCGTTCAAGTCGGACGTGTATGCGTTCGGTGTGATCGTGCTGGAGCTGCTGACGGGAAGGTGTGCAGGGGACGTGATCTCGGGCGAAGAAGGGGCGGTCGACTTGACGGACTGGGTCAGGCTGAGGGTGGCGGAAGGGAGAGGGACAGAGTGCATCGATCCATCAATGGTGCTGGAAATGGGGAACGCGGGAGTGGAGAAAGGGATGAAGGAGGTGCTTGGGATTGCGTTGAGGTGCATTCGATCGGTTTCTGAGAGGCCAGGTATCAAGACCATTTATGAAGATCTCTCTTCCATATGATGAACAGCCGTCCTTTCTTTCTGCAGTGTAGTTTTAGTTATGGAGTTGGTGTTTTGTTTTCTGCAATGTTGTTGGTGGGGAGGTTTTAATGTCTCGTTGGGCCTCTCCTATGGAAGGAAGCAAAGAGAGTGTTTAGGGGAATATTTTGGTGGGTTGTGTAATGTTTTGGTAATGTGATTGTAGGGTAGTGGGATGTGGTTAGTTTATGGTAAAAGGGGTTTTGGCGACTGCCTTTGGTTGCCTGCTAATTTGTATTAACAACAACCATTGGGTGTAAAGATGGAAGAAGGGGATGGATCTGTCAATGCATGCAAAGGGGTTTTTTGAGATTTTGTGAGATGTTGACATGGCATTGATCTGATCAGGTGAGCAATAATTATAAAATTGTATCGTATTCGCAGTTTGATCATCAAAATTTATTTATTGGAGGTTAAACTGGTAGGTAATCTTTATCGGTATGAAAATGGTTGAAGCATAATTAAATTACGATTTTAGCATAAAATAACCTATTGTAGAATTGTCTATTATAACCTCCGAATAATGCTAATTAGTTTTGGATTTAAATTGAAGCTAGTGAGATCACCCAAAAAAAGATAAAAATCACATCTCCTTATATCTATGCAATCTTTGTCTATATTGCCAACTACGTTTTTGGATTGCAGTAACACCACATAACTATACGATTGCTATAAGTTCCCCTCAAAATTGGATAAAATTTGTGCTAACACTTGAATTCGTCATATCCAAAATTCAAAATTTAAAAGTTAAATTACTCTATCTCAATATCGTCGGACTAAATATTTGTTGATTTATGATTCAATTCAATTTGTTCCAATCAATCACCGTAAAAAAACATATTCAATTTGTTATTTTGCCTTTTTTTATTATAATAAAACTAATCGTAATACATTTTAAAGGGCTAGGCGGCTAAACATCGCCTAATTTAAAACGTAAAAATACTAAATTGTCTTTCATTAACTAAAAAAAATTCAATAAAACAAAATAAAACACCCTAAATTCCCTTATCCTCTTAACACCGCCGAACTTCTCTCCAAATACCTTCCGCCGCCGCTTCTCCCCCATCGCCCTCTATGCCTTTCTCTATGATTTGCTGAGGGCACTACACATTCATTCGTCGTTTCTTCTCCCCGCCATTGCTACGCCCTTCTCCCTCACGAGTCACGGCTCACTGTTTGTGTCTGCTACTCTACGTCTAGTAGTCTACCCCTACACTCCAGCAACCGTTCCATTTCGTTTCCATCCCCGCTAAATCATTTTAGGTTTTTCTGTCACTTTTATTTATGGAAAGCTACAATGAAAGTCTAACGAATTATCTTGTTAAATTAACACTAGAATCAATGCCCACAGCTACGCCGCGGGAGATGTAGTTGTATTTGGTATCGGTAAAAACAGTATACATATAACCAAAATGTTAGAAATGATATACAAAAAGTAAGTATTATAAGTTCTGCTAAAAAAACTATGAAACTTACAATCTTTTGCCTACTTTCCAACTCAGGTTTGCAAATTCTACCATGGATATCTTCTCCTTCACTTCTTTCTTTGGATTGTTCTTCTGGTCTGAAATTCATTTCTCAAGTATCCTTTTGGACTCTTTGAATGCAATACAATCCCTAATTCCTTCTCAGAAAGAAGACTAATCAAAATCAGCATGTTTCTTGCAAAAAATAAGAGAACGTAAAACAAGCGCCTCAATAGAAGAAGAGTCTACTAAGCATCTCCGAGTATGAATGAACTCAAATGTAACATGAAGTTTGGCATGGAAAACCTTCCCAGAACCCATTCAAACAGAATACCTTCAAACTGCAGATGCCAGTAATAGTTATACATTAGGCAAAATTCAATCCAGAATTGACAGAAGAAGAATTTAAACCCCTTCCTCTAGAATGATGAAGAAAGCAAAGATTCAATATCTATTTTGGTAATGGCACTTTCTGATTCTGCAGCAACTTGAAGTGGTCTGAAGCTTGACTTCAGCTAATATCAATTCAGACTAACATCGTGCATAACAATGCAAAGAAAAATTACGACAAATTTATGGAAGCACACCGGAGAATAAAATAAGCAAATGAACAAAGTATGAGCAGGAAGAAGATAATTTTGTGGATCTGGAGTAACACATAAGACCACCAGCAAGTGTTGTAGGTACTGCTACTTGTGTATGTTGTTGCAGCGTACTGTTGTTGCTTCTAGAACCAAATGCATGCACTGGAGTTATAAAGCAAGAAGCACAAAGCACAACCCATAAAAAAGCCGTGAGCAACATCAGGAAACCAAAACGGGGAGCACAATGATGAGGAGGAAAATTAAGAGGAACTGGAGTGACCTCATTGAATATAAGACTAAGTCTCTGAAACTAACTCCTTAACCATGTTCCTCTTCCATCATAGTGAGTAAAGCAGCTTCCCACCACTCAACATCATAGCAAGAAATGAGGATAAATAACTGACAGAAACTTACAGTAGAGGGAAAAGCACTAAAATGAGCAAATGGGAAATCAACAATGGATGGACTCTGTACCATTATTAAAGGACTTGTTGTATAGGGATGGCAATTTTGACCTGACCCGATTTACCCGACCTGTTTACCTGTTTTGGGGCAGGTCAAACCCGCCCCGTAGGCGGGGCGGGGCGGGCATGGGTACCTCTCATCGACCCGACCTGTCCTGACCCGCCCCATTCTCGACCCGTTCTTGCCTAAATTACATATAATATTAGTTAAATTACTTAAGATTTTCCTCTTATTACAGTATATTTTAGCTATAATAAATTTGTAAATAAGTGAAAATCTCAATTTCTTCAATAATTTAACTACATTTTATCATATTATGGTTTCTTTCTTGGTCTTTCAATGAAAAGAACGAATATTTTTAATGTTTTTCGCATAAATTACATACCCAATGGGTCGACCTGCCCCGACCCGCGCCCCGTGATAAATTACCCGACCTGGACCCGACCTGCCATGGGGCGGGTATGGGTATCGAGATACCCGCCCCGGACCTGCCCCATTGCCATTCCTATTGTTGTAGGCAGAAATCATAGATGTATAAGCCACCTTTGTCCATCACAATTTTGAATCCATCATTTTCCCAAAAAACTCTATAGCTTAGCTGAATTTTGTCATCTTGCAACACCCACTTATCAAGACATTGTAAGTAACCGAATCAGACAATACTTTTCTTTCCCCCAAGGATAAAAACAATGCAAGCGGCCTTGTCATGTTCCCCAACATTCATATACGTGGGACAGTCAAGACGAAACTCAATAGTTAAACCTGGAGTACAAAGAGGGAAAAGAATGCATGCTTGAAACTTAAGCATCAATATGACCATCTAGATTTCAGAAACTGATTCCGCAGTTATAAATGGGTTTCCTATGCATTCCCAAGGTTAACATCAGCGAAAGGTACGAAAACCCCAAAAGTAAATTGGACCAAACCAAAATGGGATTAGAGAAGTTGCTCCGAACATAGCTGCAATGTTAATGAAAAGGTTAGGAAGGATGATTGACAACAGTTGATAGCGAGATACATGTGGACATCAAAAGTTTACCCGTTGTGAGTAATTCCAGGTCCAAGTTCAAGCATTATACACCACTATGAGAACTGTCAACCGAGAATAAGTACTTATTTCAGCCATGAACACAGAACATGGTACAATCAGTAAGGAAAAGAGACATCATGAAGACAAACTTCACAACAAAGATGATGATTAAATAGAAATCCAACATAAATATACAACTCTCGTGGCACATATGGAATGGAAAAAGTGAGACATAAAAGGTCAAAACAATTCTTGTATGCAGTATGTACCAAATGGTCATTCCTTCCAATCTTGAAAATAAAAAGTGCAAATCCAGCATAAAACTACCCCTGAAGTAGCGTGACAACAAAGAAGCCAACTAATAAAATTCCATCAGCTAAAAACACCATATATATGCAACCCTACTTATTAATAATCCAAACTTCACAGCTGATAGATCTTAAAAAAAAAAAGAACTACAACATACGGTCAACTGTAGCAAGCCTATGCGGGCTGGAACTGGTCAAAGGCTAGGTAAACTCAGAATTTCTTAGGTATAGAAATATGAAATTGGTAAAGTAACTATGGAGAAAAGAATAAAAGGACACGAAATGCTTACCCATAAATCAGAATCAGAAGGAGGGGATTCACAATAATCTTTGAGACCGGTCATATGCCTCTTTGAGACCCAAATGAACAGAGGTTATAGAAGCAAAATCGACCCTCTCTCCCTGTACTATTCCTTCAATAGGTCTGTGAACAGCAGAAGCTTGCGACGGCAAAACGACCTGTGCATAGTGGTTCCATCCATTTCTCTTATTTGGTTCGTGGCTCCATTCGGATTCTTCCGTTCTAAGTTCCCGAACCCACCTTCTTATCTTTCCATCTACCTCGCCGATCCAAACCTAATCCCAAAAGTTGAGCTTCTTCTTCCCTTTTGTTGGAGACCAATCCAGTTCTCCAACCGCCAAAGTCTCAGAATCGGCTTCCCTTTCTAAGCCACAGTCAACATTCATGGAGCCATCAATTCATTGGCCAATAAACGCCTCTCTTAGGAAACCACCAAAAACAAAATCTCAAAAATTAGAACCCACACTGTCACATCTAACGAAGATTCTAGCTTGGGACATAATTTATCTCAAATCTACGACTAAAAAAGACCGAGAAAACGAAGATGAGAAAATTCACTCACATTCATAAAAAAAAACAAAAAACCAAAAAAATCCACTCACCGTTGTATTCACCGGCCACTGTTGGGTCCGTCTCTTCCTCCCAGGTAAGGCCCCTCCTTTTCGGCCATTGTTCTTCTCAATCTCTCTTTCAGCCTACCGATTTTAGTGTGGACGAATCGAATGTCGCCGTTGAAGCCAGAGCTTTTCCTTTCGTTGCGGAAGCGACTTTTCCATCGAATATCGGCAACGCGTCACTGACATCATCCTCCACCTTCCCTACCACTGCCGCCTTTCTCCAAAACCCTCCCCGGACGCAGGCTCTTCCATCGCCAACCATTCATGGTGGTTGCTGAGTGAAGATCATTCTGGTCCCTCGTTTTCCAGCTATGTGGACAACGGAGCCCCCTCTTGGCCAACAAATATGGATTAAACCATGAGAGAGATTTCTTCTTCACTCTTCTTCTTCGTCGACTGAGCGAGAGAGGTAGAAAGAGTTTTTTCTTATCTTTTCTTGTTGATTGTGGTGAAGAAGACACTTTTTCTCGAAAGCACAGTGGAGTAGTTGCTGCAACATGTTGGTGGCGTGTGAGCAGTTGTGCAGAGGAGGCATGGGCGATGGCGTGCGCAGAGGAAGAACGTCTCCTTGGGTCAAGGTGGGCAGGAACGTCATGTTGGTGAGGAGCTGTGTACAGGAAGCTCCTCCAACCATATTGAGGGGAAGTCTTAGACCGCTTGGCACTAAACGCCAAAGAATGAAATAGTAGTAGCAAAATTAGGCCAATAAAGCGTACCCACCCTTCATGTTTAAAAGAATACTTGGAAAGGCAAGTTCTGTAAATGAGAGATAAGACTGGAGGAAGGTGAGGTATGACAATATTAAAAAACCCAGGGCGTACGACAAGGCGGCGCTCGACTTCCGCGGCTGCAAGGCCAAGACCACCCATCCCCAACGATATCCCGGCTCCCAAGGCGGTTGATGGCCTGGAGAACAGGCAGAGCCCCAGCCAGAGCAGCACAGTCGAATCGTCCGGGCCACCTGTGGTGCCGCGCCAGTTGGATTTCTTCCGCCCTCTCCCTCCTCCTCCTGTTGTCGGCGGCGCTGATGCTGGGTTTGTCGGCAGGTTTCCTTTCGTTTTCCAGGTGAATCAGCCGCCGCCGCCGCAGTGCGCTGTGACTCCGGTGTGGTTTTTTGACGGAATTGTGAAGCCAGAGCTCCCACCCTTGGCCGTCGATACCTACAGCCGGTGCGACGAGGGGGAGCAGAGCGAGACGGATTCGACGTCGTCGGTGGTTTTAGATTGCAAGGCAACCGGCAAGCGGCGGGAAGTTCTGGATCTGGATCTGGATCTCAACCTCGCCCCACCAGTGAACGCTTGATGGTCCGACGGTTACAATTCCAGAGCGTCAGTTACAAATCCAGAGGCGATTCCAACTGCGATCCGTTTCAGATACGCTTTTTTTTTCTCTTTCCTCTATAATTTAATATTTATTTATTTCCAGATTTATAATTCTATAATTTTTTTTCTTTTCCTTCTTTAACTGCTCGTTTTTATAAGCTTTTCATTAACTTTTCTGTAAAAAAAAAAGAAGAAGTAAGTAATTAAAAATGTTTTTCTTTTGTCCTTGTTAGCTTCTGATTCGGAGTATCTGACTAAGCCTCAATGGCTTGCTTAAGTCCATTCGGTGGAGCTTAGTTGTCCTCCTCTATGGGCGCTTGTGTGTTTGTTTGTTTTTGTAGGGAGCACGTAGTTTTCCCTTGACCATTCAAGTTTCCATCCTTTATGATTCAATCACGTGTTGTGGCGCATGCGACAAGTGGAGCGATCTTGGAAGAGATTTGTTTGGCGTCTGTGTCTTTTAATTTCTTTATTTGTACTTTTACGCAGAGGTTGTACAACAAGGCTGCCCACTTAGTGGCTTCTAATGCCCTTTCATCGACAGCTCGATATTGTGTCGACTGTCGCGTCTGGTTTTCTAGCGTCCTGTAATATCTATTTCATTCCCATCTATGGCAAAAAAAAAAAAAAAAGACTGGAGGAAGGTTGTACATGACATGGCCGCCGCCCGGAGCAGTGGTGGTGGGTGGTGGGAATCAATGGATGTCAAAGTTTTTATTTTATTTATTAAATATTTTTAATAAAACAATAAAGAACAAAAATGTAATCTTAATTCAGGCAATTAGGCGACGATTATCAATTCCCAACAAGGGAAACATAATTATGGGCCGTCTGGGCCAGCATTCGGTTTCCCTGAACTTCCAAGCCCGCCCATGACGTGGTACAATCAATGGATAAGCTAAGCTCCACACTGATCGAGATCGTCTTTCATCAGGTTTTGTGTTTTATATTTTTGAAAATGTTTTCCTTCTTCGGTAATCACTAATCAGTTACAGAATACAGAGGTACACTGAGTTATAAGATCATTCTTAACCAAGGGGCAAGGGCACTGAATTTGCTAATAACCTTCCTTTTCTTTGCAAAGGCAAGCTAAGAACGTCTATAAAGTGCGATTTTCCCTGAACTCGCAGTGATCTCTCCTCACCGAATATCACAACCCAGTTCAAAAACGAAACATAAAAGAGTTGCTTTCTGTAACTTGATCAACGCAGCGAGGAACTATTTGCTCAGGCTAGGAAGCTACTTGGACAGTTTTTCCAAATTTTCTTTCTCCCATGGCGATATGCAGAGCCAGAGTTAGAGCGGGAGCTCTACTTAGTTTGTTTCGCCACTATTCAGAGCGCGCCTGCTCTTCTTCACCAATCTCCTCTAACTTTCAGGTAAAATATGGTGTATTTAATTCACAGACTTGTTTCTAGTTTAGTTTTCTTTTTGTGCTCATCTTTTGGTTCGCCTAATTACAGAATGTTGGATTCATAGGACTGGGCAACATGGGATTCCGGATGGCAAATAACTTGATCCGAGCTGGGTTCAACCTAGCAGTTCACGATATGTAAACACTCCTCCTTAATACCCTCTTTTACTTCAAAGTTTGTTACTTTCCGATTCCATGGATAGCTTTTCGTTAATGGGCTTCTGGGTTTCAATTGATTTCAGTAACCATGGTGTAATGAAGATGTTCTCTGACATGGGTATTCCGGCTAAGGACTCGCCTCTTGATGTTGCTGATTCGAGTGACGTTGTGATTACTATGTTGCCTTCCTCATCTCATGTAATGATGAACTTGTGTGATCATTTCTTTTTGATGTTGACCCTTATTTGCCTGTGTGAAGCACGCCAGTGTAATCTAGTTTTTGTTTTTGTAGGTATTGGATGTGTATACGGGACCAAATGGCTTGCTTCACGGTGGAAGCATAGTGAGACCTCTATTGTTCATTGATTCATCTACTATTGATCCTCAAACATCAAGAAAGCTTTCAGCTGCTGTGTCCCAGTGTGCTCTAAAGCTAGAGAAAGGTATCATCAAGTAGCAATGTGTTCTGTGAATGATGTTTAACTCTGCCGATTTGGTGCTGACATCAATTTCCGGCAAATGCCTACCTTCCTCCTTGTATTGAATGAACAATTTGCATATCTGGAGATGATTGGAAGAAACCTGTGATGTTGGATGCTCCAGTTTCTGGAGGTGTGATTGCTGCAGAAGCTGGTACTCTTACTTTCATGGTATGGTTTGTCCCCTTCACTTATCAACTTTTGTGGATGAAATGTCTGAGAGCATGGCTGGATAAAGAGTCTCATAGGGTAATTCACTGCTCTAATGTGACAATAATGGAGGAGAGGTGGCAGTTTTCCTGAGTTTATGTGCTGTTTAAGTTTCCATGTTGCTAGAGCCAGGAGTTGGTTTTGTATCAACAGTGGGAGGTTACCTAGCGGTAGTTGTTCGGGAAAACATCTTATCCACCATGAGTTTGAACTTTGGGGTCAGTGACCTATGCTATACCTTGATGCATGATATGCAAAACCACATTTGTGAATTGTGACAGTAGTGCCCTGTGCCCTCCAAAAGCTTGTTTTCTTCCCTGATGTTGCGTGGAATTCCGAATTCATGATCCAAATAAGGTATCATGTCCAGGTTGGTGGTTCCCAGGAAGCCTATCTGTCTGCCAAACCCCTATTTCACTCAATGGGAAAAAACACAATCTACTGTGGAGGAGCAGGAACTGGTTCTGTAAGTTGCTACAAGTGCTTAAAAGCAAACACTTTTTGAGATAAGAATTCTCTTACCATCGTCTCTCCTTTTTTGGTTTTCTTTCCCGATTGGTTCTGTAGGCTGCAAAGATATGCAACAATTTGGCCATGGCTGTTAGTATGCTTGGTGTATCAGAAGCCCTAGCTCTTGGCCAGTCCCTTGGAATTGATGCAAGCACTCTGACCCAAGTTTTCAACTCTTCAAGTGCTCGATGCTGGAGTAGGTATAATGCTTGAATGGGCACATTACCTAGTATCTGCTGGGAGCTTCACTTCATTAATCGCGTGTTCTCATCATAAAAATAGTTTAGACTCATACTTAGTTCCTAACCAAATGAGAGCCCATACATGGCAGTGATAGCTACAATCCAGTTCCAGGAGTGATGGAAGGTGTACCTGCTTCGAGGAACTACGCTGGTGGATTTGCCTCCAAACTAATGGTGGGTAGGAAACAAAACACACTCGATCATCTCTGATAACTACATATGAAAGGTTGAACCGTTCACTAAACAAATGACATGCTGCAGTCTAAAGACCTGAACCTTGCTGCTGCATCTGCCAAAGATGTTGGCATGGAATGCCCTTTGACATCCCAAGCTGGAGAGATGTAAGTATTTCTGACATTTGATTCGAGTGTGTGGAACCATTTTTGTAGGAGTCAATATGATTATGGTTTGATGTGAAAACTTTGAGCAGATATGAGAGCGTGTGCAAGGATGGCCATGAGAGCGAGGACTTCTCTTGTGTGTTCCGTCACCATTACTCTGGAGAAGACGAGCTTTAGTGTCAATGTGCGCCCTTTCAAGAGATTTCACGGCTGCCCAGCTGCACGGAATGCCGGTTTTCTATCTGTGCTGATGGCTATACACAGACGATCAGCTGAGTGCTCCTGCCGTTGGAGATGACAGACTATAATTCTGCTGACCCATGCTTTGTAGAAAGAAAGTGTCCAAGTGGACTTTTACAAATTAGAAGTGGATTAGGTAGTTGTCAAATGCAGCCATGTTTTGTTTTGGACGATAATGAACGAGCGAGAGGCAATGGTTATGTATCTCAATCAAATGTGACCCCAAAAGTTTTATATTTGTTAGTCGGAATCTCAGACGCCAAAGGCCAAAAACCGCCTCTCATCTCCCCCACATCCGTCCCAAAAAAGCACAAGGAAGATTTTCTTGGAATATATTCGCTTTCCTTCTTTTGGATTTCTCTCCCTCTCTCCCCCTGTCCATTTGCGCCAGGATTTGAAGAGAATATGAATTGGTTAAATGCTGATTATCGGTTTGGGGCTGGGTTGAGGAGCCTGGCCTGTGCGGTGGCGACCGGCACGATATTTGCATTATATGATTTGCATAACTCGGTTTATGAAAACCTCCTCTTAAGGCAAGAGCTCAATTGACTAGTCGAGTCGAGTCACAACTACAAGTATATGGATTTTTAAGTCTAAAGAACAAAACCAACATTTTCTACACACATTTTAGCATTAAAATTTTCTACACATCACTCACTCGAACTCTGTAATGACCCACACATTTCGGGCCATTGGTGACCCACGACCCCGTTAACCAAACCAACATTTAATGTGGACGGTTTATTAGCATTTGGGCCCATGGCAACTATAGGACTGTCTATATCGGAAGCCCAGACGATCCTGCTAAATCCGGCTATAGCGTAAAAAGTAAAAACAGTATTTTGACTATTTTCCGTTTTCATTTTGTCGACGTGGGTACTCCGTTCACCTGTTTGTAATTTATAAAGGTAGGCCACACCGTAGCCGAAGAATTAAAATAAAAAAAATAGAAAAATGGTCCTTTTTTCCCTCCTTTCCCCGTTCACCGTTTCCTTCCCATTCCCAATAAAACCCCAAACGCCAAAACCCCCCCCCCCCCCCCTGCTCTTCATCTTCTCTGACAGTTCCCCAACACTTCTTCTGCTGCTCCGTCCTCTCACCTACTCAGACCACGCGGCGCCCGCTCGCAGAGATCGTTGCCGACGCCGGAGCAGCCGTCCCACCTCTGCCGCCTTCACGGAGACGATCAGTACTCACGCGTTCGTCGGGATTGTGAATGCCACGCGAGGTTTCTCTTCCTTCCCTCTTTCTCCTTTCGGTTGTAGCTCACAGTTCCAAAATGCCTCTTCCATCTCCGGCTTCTAAATCTCTCGGCGATTTCTGTTCTTATGCAAGCTCCACGAGTTGCTTTTTCTCCGAAATGCACTGCACTTCTCTTTGCCCTTTCGTTTCTGAGGATTCTTGCTCTTTGCTGTGTGCTCATTTTCTCTTATTTAGCCGCTTTTAATTCCCTGTTTCGAGTCTATGGCCGAATGCTTCTGGTTGTTTCCTGAGAAAATCCGGGAAAACGGATTCTAGCGAGACTTTTTTTGTCGTTTTCTGCAACTAGAAACCACACAAATCACCATGTACGGGAGACGGTGCGCTCCGATTTTGTTCATTTGATTGGCCTTTACTTTGACAATCGACCGACGGATTGCCGTTTGATTTCTGTAGGAACTCAAAATGGAAGGCCAAGGATCTGTAGCAGTGACGGTGAGGAAGATGAATCTTACTCCAAAGGCTATTATCCATCAGAAGTTCGGTCCCAAGGCGTGTTACACAGTGGAGGAAGTTCAAGAGCCTACACAGACTGAATGCCCTGGGTTGTGTATCCCACAGAAGGGACCGTCTCTTTACCGCTGCAGATTGGAGCTCCCTGATGTTTTGATCGTCACCGATACTTTCAAAAAGAAGAAGGAAGCTGAGCAATCTGCAGCCGAGATGGCTTTGAAGAAGGTTCTGTTTGTCGTTCTCATTCAGTAGGCTGTCAAATGAAATTTTGCATTTTAATTTTTCTGAATTTGACTCTGTCAGCGTTATGCCTTTGTTGCTTTCTGGTGTGTGGACGAAAATGTCAATCGTGGTGATGGGGAAAGTGAGAATTTGGTTATCTAAGTCTTGTCGGGTGTTGTTTTTTGCTACCTAATTTTCAATTTTATTTTTGGCTTCTCTGATTCTGCTGCTTATGTATATTATTTGTTGCTTGCTGCTGCAGCTAGGTATCCATCCTGCAACTGATAATCTAACTGCGATGGATCTATGTGATGCCTTAGTTCAACGGCTCAAGTACTTATTCTCAGAAGAGGTTTGTGCAGAAATATGGGGCTTAGCAAGTTCCAACCCTTGATAGATGTGAAATGCTCGTAATTTAGCCCATGCTAATCCTTAGTGGGATAAGAAAATCCATACGTGCTTGTCTTTTTGAAGGTGTTGTGTATTTTGACATGGGCTCTTTGTAGGACGACATCGTTACTCGGCTGCATTTTGTGCTATGCTTAAAATTTTTAAGTATGCGCTTTTAGATACCTCAGTTATCTTATGATTGTTGTGACATGCTTGTCCATGTTCTTGTTGATATTTTGGCCAGTAACCATACTGACAAGTCTTTTGATTTTCGTGTTTGACTGTGGTGATTGGTGAAGTTCCTTTCGTCTTCGCATCCATTAACTGGTCACCTTAGAGGAGCTTCTCGCAGAGCTGGTGATCTTTGTGGTTCAGTGCCCTCTTCAGTTTTTGCCACCTTTGACACAAAGTTGAGCAATATATGTAAATCACTGAATCCCAAGGTGGATTCCAATCCTTTCCTTGCTTTGCCAATCATTACAAGTGCTGCGACGAGGTTGTCCTCCTCTGTTTTAGTGTCCGAAAGTCGACTTTCACTTCGGAGACTGAGTCCGTACCCTCCTGAGGTGTTTTACTCCTCTAGTGTTCAACAGTCTGATTCTTCTGAAAGGATATCGGTTGATGCTATCTATATACCATCTTCGCTCGATGAACACGTTCGACAAGTGACTCTTCATTTGTCTTCATCTGGTTATTACATGGACGTTATTGCACAGAAGCTTGGCGTTGAAAATGGCGATAGGATTTCACTGTCAAGGTGGGTGGTGACTGCTGTACTTGTAAGGGATGGTTTCCCTGTAATGCATAGACTATATGTTTAATTCTGATTGCATGCCATGTGATAACAAATGCCTTAGCTGTTCAGTCCAGCTACAGGAAATTTTTTGGTGCTTTTATTTCTGAAAGTGTCTTAGTGTGTATCTACAGGACACTTGGTAAAGCTTCTTCAGAGACTAGATTATACTTTGCTGCCCCTGGATATCATCTGTTGGAGGTGTCCTCAGACCCTGGTGCAGTAAAAGACAATCCCTTAGAAGGATCATTAAATGCAAGAGCAAGTTACTTCTGTGGCCAAGTTGTACATGGTGATGCTATTATGGCTTCCTTTGGATACACTTGGAGGTCTAAAGAGCTCTTTCATGAGAATTTGACCTTGCAATTATATTACAGGTCTCTTACGTCTCTCAAGTTCAATTTATTTGGGTTTTAATCTTCACATCCTTTGTGTATACTCTTGTTGTATTGCTGCTTTGAACTATTTGTCTGAACAAACCTCTGATATCCTCATCTTTAATTATATGTTAGCATGCCGCCAGAATTGCACTGAAAAGTAGTTATTCTCAAATGTTATGTTTTGTCTGACAGGTTACTAGTCAGCACATTTCCAGGTGGAACTTATAAGTTGTCAAGAGAAGCTGTGCTTGCAGCAGAATTGCCTTCGCGGTTTACAACAAAAGCATATTGGAGGGGCTCATTTCCAAAAGAAGTTCTCAGTACTTTCTGCCGTCTGCACCGATTGTCTGAACCTGCATTCTCTGTTATAAGTTTGCCTTTACCTGAAAACTGTTTATCAAGGGTGCACAAAAAGGTGAAACTCAAAGATACATTCACATCAGAAATGGAATGTCTGAATGAGAGACCTACTATTGCTACTGGTGAGACAGACTCAATGGAGTCTGGGAGCACTTTTAGATGTGAAATAAAGATATATTCCAAGCGTCAGGATTTGCTCATGGAGTGCTCACCTACTGATCTATATAAGAAGCAGAGTGATTCCGTTCACAATGCTTCTCTGAAAGTTCTCTCATGGTTGACTGCATACTTTAACAACTTTGGCATTCCCTTAGAACAGCTAAACTCTTATGGAGAAAACCTTGGTATCCAACTTTATCCTGAAATTTTCTTTAGAGAGTTTGTGCTTTATCCACATGTTGGCGATAATAGCATCGGGAGGAATGCTGAACAAAAACTATTAGAATCAAAATGTGCAGATATGTTGTATTCTCTATCAGAACATGGTGTATTCTCATTGAGAGTAGAAGGTTGTGATTCTGGTGCATATCCATCTAATGGATCTCTACTGTGTGTAAGCTATTCTGTTGTTTTAGCAACTGAAGGCAAAGATATGAAAGAACTTCTTGAACAGAAGGATGAGTTTGAGTTTGAGATGGGCACTGGAGCAGTTGTTTCCTCCCTTGAGGCTGTTGTGACACAATTGTCAGTTGGTCAGTCTGCTCTCTTCAATACGAGGCTACCCCCTGAATATTTTGTTTTAGCTGCAGGGACTGATTCTGGAAGGATACTTTCATTTATGTCTTCGCGTAAGTTGCTGCCATTTTCTCCTCAAATCTCCAATATATTATTTTCCGTTGTTCTGTCATTTACACGCATGTTTTCTGAACACTGATTTATGGGGTTTAATGAATACTGATCTAAGTTTCTCCCCATCCGTTCTGTTGATTTTTTTGGGGGAGAAACCAGTTCTTTTAGGTGCTTCCTAAATTTCAACAGCCTTTTATCCCTCCTCGTCAACTTCTCACTGAATCGTGAATAGGATAGAACATCCTTTAGGAATTAGGAGCTTTAGATTTGCTATGAGTGCGATGTTTCAGTGCCTTTTCCCATTCAGTAACATAATATAAGGGCCTATCATCCAGCTAATAGTTAAAACTCTAAACTACCCTAGTAAGATTCATCATTGTGCATATTCTCCTTGAATGCCTTCTGCCATTGGCCTTAATTCTGATGTCTAATAGTGAACTTTATTCTGTTACTTGTCCTGCAGATAATTGTTACTTGCAATATTCAGTTTCCTTGTTGCATGTAACTGAACCTCCTGAAGAAAGAATGGAGCAGGCTCTTTTCAGCCCCCCGCTCTCAAAGCAAAGGGTGGAATACGCTGTCCAGCATATCAGAAATTCTTCTGCTGCTTCCCTAGTAGGTGGCTTTGAATTCTAATCCGGTAAAATTGTGACTTGTGAGTTAAGTACATGGAGTTGTTCTCTGAAAATACTACTTATATTTTTCTAGGTTGACTTTGGATGTGGATCCGGAAGTTTGTTGGATTCACTATTAGATTATCCAGTTTCTCTGGAGACAATTGTTGGTGTAGACATATCCAGGAAGAGTCTTAGCCGTGCTGCTAAGGTCTGGAGACTGAATACTGTGCTTTATTCCTATCATAGAATATTGCCCTTCCTATCATAGACTGATCTGGCTTACAAATATTCTTCCCCTGTTCTCAATTTCCTTAGATTCTTCATTCCAAGCTTGCTGCAAACACTGACATTGCTGTCAAATCTGCAATTCTATACGATGGTTCCATCACTGTTCACGATCCACGGCTGCGTGGTTTTGATATTGCCACTTGCTTAGAGGTTTGATCTTAATCTCTGACCTCCCAGTCTCTCTTGTGTAACTATCAGGGGCGTGTTTGCTTAAGCTTTTGCCTAAAAATACTTTTTTTTTTGTTTCTCAAGTTTTAGAGACGTGAATAAATAGTTTGATTATTGATGGAATGCTAGATAGTTTGTTTAATAAGAAAGAGACGATTGGGTTTCGAGAAATGAATATTATCTGTATAACTTTTAGACTAGTTTTAATTTGTAGAGGCAAATGACAAATTTAATAGTGAGATAGGTTTTATATGTAGGAATGTTTAAAAAATGCTGGATTGAAAATATGTGCTTGTTTCAACTTTCAAGTAAACTTTTCTTGAACATACTCGTTTACAGCCAAAACAAACACATCCGTGATGGTGATATTTGTCTTTGCATTTCTAAAACTGCGGTTGAGATTTTGTAGGTGATTGAGCATATGGAGGAAGAGGATGCCAGTCTGTTTGGAGATGTGGTATTGAGTTATTTTCGTCCCAAGATCCTCATTGTTTCCACTCCCAACTACGAGTACAATGTGATCCTTCAAAAGTCGGCGGGAAGCCAAGAGGAAGATTCGGACGAGAAAGTCCACTCCCAGACCTGCAAGTTCCGGAACTTCGACCACAAGTTTGAGTGGACAAGACAGCAGTTCAGTGAATGGGCGTGCCAGCTGGCAGAGAAACACAATTACAATGTCGAGTTTGGAGGTGTTGGTGGCACTGATGGTGTCGAACCAGGGTTTGCGTCTCAGATTGCCGTTTTCAAGAGCAAGGAGACAAGGCTTGTTGAGGAAGGAGCGAGTGGCGATGGCGCTTCTGAAACCGGGATGGACTCGGAACTAAGGTACAATGTTATATGGGAGTGGAAGAAGAGTAGTGATGAGCAATAGGTCCTGGGATTTTCTGACTTGAGATATCGTATATATGGAAACCTGTTAAAGATTTAGGGAGGTAGTAGGGTTTGTGGAACTTTGGGTGGTCAAAGGAATTATGGAGGCCCAAGGAAAACATGCCTGACGGGAGCAAGCCATAACCATATGCAAGTACTGGTTTTGCTTAGTTAACTTATCAACTATAAGATCTTACAAAAGTGTAGTTAGTCTTACAAATACCTGGAAAAGGAAAAGTTTCTTGGCAGTTGTTATTTTGCTGTTCACAAGCTCTTCTGGACACATTTTCAAACTTGATATGATTGAAATGAAAACTCAACAAAGGCTGTCCTATATTTAAGAGTGTGCAATGGGTTGTTCGTCTTGGTATCCAGACCAAATCGACACTTGAACAACATCATATTGAATTGAATATAATGTGGTTAGGTCTTTGCTCCCATGAATTTATAAGTACTAAAAAAAATGAATCGGATTGAGTACACTGTTAAGTTCTGTCATTGATCCTAATGTCTTTCCCTATTGTACCGTCGTTCTCATAAGATCCGGATGGAATATTAAACACCCCTGCCTATATTGAATTGTGTCAAGGATGTGCTAGCAAAGATGCATTTCAATTTTCAAGTAGATGACCACGAAAGTGAATTATGAGTTTGGGTGATCAATCCTTGTTGGCTCGGTGGCATGAAGCATTTTTGTATCTAGCCTACTTGTGGTCTTCTATAGCAGAAAATAGAACCATGTCAGCGTTTAGGATCATCGTCTATAGGTCAAAATTGAGATTAATGATACTTTATGCCTCTATGATTGGATTGTCAAATTCAGTTCTCACAAAAATTAGCGTGAGAATAGTAGCCAAAATTGTCATGTGAATACAACTTGCCATAGTGCTCACACCAAATTGTTTGCACTTCTCACAACTTTTTTTTCATTTGTAAACATAGATATTGTTAGATTTAATTTAAGAAACGTAGTAATGAGAATTTGTTAAGAAAAAAATTAAAAAAAATAATGATGAGATGCAAAACAATGTGAGCCAAATCCATGTGAATGGACCCCTCCATCTCCCACATGATTATGGATCCCAAAAAAAGCCCAATCAAGGAACAAAATTCGAACCAGAAAAGTGAAATCCAGAACCAAAAAAAAAAAAAAAAAAGGAATCAACCGCGTCATTCCACCATTTTAAGTTTTCTGAAAATTTCGATTTGCCGCTTTATGTTCCGTTCCCTACAAGGAGAAGGAAAGCCCTAAACTTCGTTTTCAATTCTTTCCTTCTCTCTATAAATGATAAATCTAGAACCCATTCTACTACAGAACCGCCGATCGCCATTTTCTCAAATCTGAAATTCCTTCCTTCCCTCGCCGCCTCCCGTCAAAAGGAAACAGAAATAAATTTTCCATGTCGGTCTCAACAGCTTACTCTCTGCACCTGTACGGCTCCACGGCAGGCGACGTCATCCCCTTCGATCCCACCGCGAAGCTCGTAGTTGCCCTGAGGTACAGGTACCAGCTCCAGCTCCCGACCCGCGAGGGCGTCAACGTCCAATTGGACGACGTCACCGTGCCGGAGGTCCGCCGGGGGTTCAAGTTCCCGCCCGACGCCTTCCGCTCCGCCTCGCTGCGAAAGGAATTCGTCAGCCGGGCGCTGAGGAACGTGATCGGCGGCGGCGGAACCGCGGAGGACGAGTCGGCGCGCGAGGAGCTGGCGCAGCGAATCTCGTCCTTCGCGGTGGAGACGGCGGCCAAGTACGGGATGAAGACTTCCGCGGTGGTGGCGGTGGTCGGCGTCAACAGGGTCGAGGTCGTCGGCCGCCAGGAGGTTGTGGATTTTCTTGCCGGCCACCAACGGCAGCAGCAACAGAAAACCAGCCAGCAACAACAGACGACTCTGGCTTAACAGATTAGCTCTTCTATTGCTTTCCCCCCTTTTTTCCTTCACTTCTTTGTTTAGGTGTAGCTAGTTGTTTAGGTGGAGAATGTAGATAGGGTAACTTTTGTGCTATACACAACACAAGTAGAGGGAAGATGGGCAATCAACCCACCCCTGAAGTTTTGGTCATGGTTGCCTGCTTGTAACATTTGTATTTCCACGAGTTTTGTTCGACTGCGTGTGCTAGCTGATGATGCATTGGCGCAGAGTCTTTTTGCTATAATGAATGTTATCGATGTTATGAAATGTGAAATTTGATGCTTTGCTGAGAAGTTCATTCTCTTAGATGAACAGGAAAAGGTCCAATCTTGAGTACTCGTAATACTCCATTCTGTGTCATGCATAACAGAAACTCGGATGCCTATTTTCTTGGGATAGCATTATCAATGTTGGGTTGTGGTGAAGTTTCTATCTTTGCGTTCCATTGGATGATCAAAAAGCTTGGAGCCAGAGATGGTGATCTTAGTGGTTCAATACTGGTTTTCTGTTCTTTCTGGCTTTTACCAATCACTGTCATGGAGATCAAACGGATGTTTGAATTGAATGAGATAGCTACTGCTATATCTTGGGGAGGGGTTTAAGATGTTAAACAAAGGCAGATACAGTCCAAGTGTCAGGATTTTCTCATTGATTTCTTTGAATTAAGGAGGGATTGCAGAATGCAGAATGCATTTCTCTCCTCTCTATGGCTGTGAGTTATGATACATCTCCCTATTGGTGGCTTTTCTATTTGCTGTTTATTGGTGGGTTTCTATTAGATGCACACTTCAGAGCTTCTTGCTAAGATTGGACATTAGAGACCTGAGATACAGTCAGTACTCAGTATAGATGCCATGTGGGTTTGTTGTATTGGTGGCAATTCACCAAAGCGGTCTCTTAGGATAGGCATATAATGATTGATAAACTGGATGACATAGTCTTTAGCAGAGTAACGTGACCAACAAGGATAAAAAAAACTTGCATACCAAGTTTCAAGCCGTTGACTCGACTCCAAAAGAGAGTCCAAGATAGGCAGCTGAAAATGCTCCCATCTCAAACTGAAAAATGTTGGCGAAGTACGAAGAATGACGTTGATCTCCCCCTACCACAAATAGTAATCATGTTTGTAAATTTTGAGTTCTCGATTTAGTGTTAAAATTTGTTAAGAAGTGGAAGTTAATTATTTTATAAAAAAATATTGTTTGGTGTTTCGACAAAGGAAAGAGAATGTGTAGTCTAAAAGATAAATATATCTACTGAATTATACGGATGACCAAAATGTCGAAGTGAGACTAATGAGGTTAAGAGCATATACTTATGAGTTATAACATGTGATCGGATAAATTTAGTGCAAATATTTAAAATATTAAACTCGTATCAAAATCACTACTTTTGGTATCGGATTCAACGAAAACTCATCTTAAAAATTAATGTTGACTGGATTTTCACCAGTAAAATCGAATTAACTTTATCTATAACAAAATGGTTACACATACTCTTCTTAGTTTGTTCAAAATCTTATATAGGTTCTTCTGGTGAAACTGAAAGGAGAGAGAGGGTGTCCTTATCTAAGATCCCTTTTACTTGAAAAATAACCATAATCATCAAAACATAGAGATAACTGTAAACACAACTAATCTAAATATACAATTGCTAGGAAAATCCATCTTCCATGACAAAAGACGTGTAAAAAGAGAAATGAATGACATAAAATATGTAGATCTTTCGCAACAATTCAAGTTATTGAGACTAAATGGTTTGTTCGTTAACATGGTACAATAACCTTCTGATAAAAAAAAAAAAAATGGTATCAACACTTTCGATCCAGAGGTTTTTGTTCGTATCCTTACAACAACCTACAACATAGTAAATGATTTAGCACAAGGTATGCTATGTTGAGAAACAATTATCCTTATACTAGAAATAATTATTTCTCAAACTACAATAATCAATTCACAACTAAAAATACTATTCAACATTCACTTCACACCAACAATCAATTGATTAACAAAGAAATTCTTGTATATTCCATCGACTTTACTTTCTCTAATTTTTCGCCGTATATAAGCTTTAAAAATCCTGAAATTTTAATTTAGGTGGCAGAAACAAACACAAATTTAAACATTACTCGCACGAAAGCTTAGTTATCCACGGGAATACAAGAAATTCAAATGGCATAATTCCCAGTTTGGACCAATATATATAACCCCACAATTCGACGAGTCCTTAATCAATCCGGCAATTAATTAAAGTTGGAATTAAACATTCTCTTCCATTTTTCTGTCTCGAAAATGAATTTCAAAAAGGCCGGTTTCCTTCTCCTCCTGGCTTTTCTGGTCATATCTGCGGCTGCAGCTAGGAGCCATGTCCACCCGGAGAAGACGGCGGCGACAAAAAGAGGAACCCTCGTCGCCGCCGGCATAGCAGTTGCAAAGCCCGAGCTTACATGCGATGGCGATACTTTTTGCGGCGATTACGGTTGTTGTGGATCATGTGACAGCGTTGATCCTTCCAAGTGCGATTCCTGTTGTCAACCCATTTTCGTGCCGCCGACAGAGATTCCGGCCGTCGGCGACCCATGAGCAACGATGCCACACTATTATATATGCATACTTGAATGAATGAAATGTTGTCTTTTTTTTCTTCTTCTTCTTCCAGTTTGTTGGTCGCCGGTGTACGGGTACTACTAAAGTGTTCGTCGTTATGAATAAAATAATGTGATTTGATTTCTATTGTCGTCGATCGGCAATGAAACAGAGTTAGAGGCTTTATGAGGTTCCAATCGAGTTTGCTTTTAGGATTGTCTGAAAGAAAGTTGATGTATGTTTCTTTAAAGTTTCTCTACTCATATGTAATTGTGCTTGGAATAAGATGCCTCTATATACATGGTAATTCATTTTACAATGAAATGAATTCTCGATCTTGTTAAACTGTCTATTTTATCTGTTAGTAGTTTTTGAGTTACTCTCGTTACACAATCATATTTGGAAAATTGGTTTTTGTTCCCAGAAGAAATTAATTTTGGATAATTTGTAGTAAACTAGTCCTTGTGGCCTGTGGGATCAATACTCCACTTACATTTTGTTACTTGACACAATATGTATACTTGTATAGCTAGGGTTTTGTGCATCATATCCATGTATATTATGATAATTATTAGAAAACTAAGAACCTATGTTTATTGATGAATGATTGATTGAAAAAGTTAGACAGAAGATCATCGAAGCTTAGCTTTTATCCTGAAGGTTAGGGCTGAAAAAACAGACCTGAATTTTTGAAAAATCATGGATCAAACCAAACTGTACAGTTTGGTCTGGACCATATACCATTAAAAATGGTCTCATATGGTCAATGGTATGTATTATATAATGTTTTGATCACTTGGTATGGTATGGTCTGGTCTATATTGCGCTTTATTGGACCAAACCGTGGATCCAGGCGACTTCACAACCACATTTCACTAGAGAGTAGAGACGATCGTGTTTGCATATGACATTATGTTAATGTTTATGACGTTATGGTGCAAGTTGGGATGCTTTGACTTTGTATCTTTATTATTTACTTCGAGTTGAGACATGATGCTACATCCTAACCTCAAACGGGTCAACCCTAGTGCTTAATCTAAATCCAAACTATCAGATTCATTAATCTAAATCCAAACGGGTTAAGCTACCCTATATTACATAAACTCAAGCTTTAGAATCCTGAATGCGGCAGAAACAAACACATATGTACAAATTACTTGAATGAAGGCTTTGTTATCCACGGGAGTACAAGAAATTCAAGGGCATATCTAATTCCCAGTTGGTGGAATAAGACCACCACATTTGCTCTTAGGTTGGGCCAATATTTATAACCCCTCAATTCGACGAGTTCTTCATCAATCCGGCAATTAATTAAAGTTGGAATTAAACATTCTCTTCCATTTTTGCAGAAACTTATTGTCTCGAAAATGAATTTAAAAAAGGCCGGTTTCCTGACCTTGATCCTTCTACTCCTGGCTTTACTTGTAGACCTTTCCTACTACTCGAGCTTTCTGTTTGTCAATAGAGCCAACCTGTTTGCATTTGATACGAAAAACACATTTGTTGCAAATAATAGGTATATCAGCCAGAGGGTCAACAACTATATCCATGTTTCTGTTTTGTCAAGAGAAACTAGTTATGAGTTGATAGATAGATTCCATTATGGATGTTTAGAAGCTTGTTTATATGTCTTAGACTCTTGTTGTAATGTGATGGCCATGGAAAATCTCTTGTGAGCTTGACTTATAGAACTATAAGTCAGAATTTCCTGAATTGGATAAGTATTATCCTTACCAGTATGTGAAGAAGTATCAGTGCCTTATGAGACTGAACATCAACTGATGGAGGTAAACTGTTGTGTGTAACGGGAGCTGGAGATTGAGAAATAGGATCTGGAATGTTTCCAGGAAATAGAAGGAGGAGAGTAAGTAGAGTTAGCAAGGTGTGGAGTTGTTCCTGAACTCATATATGTATGAGATGGGATTGTAATTGTCCCATTCAGGAATAATAGGAGAATAAACAGGTATTGGTAAGTCACTGTGTGTGATTTCTGGTTTAAAGAAGAAGAAAAAAAAAAAGGAAATATAGTTTTATGAAAAACAACATCTCTGAAAATGTAATCGTCATTATGAGCAGGTGATTCGTGTCAAAATGATGTCAATCGTCATTTGTGATATGATGAACAAGAAACATATGAATTTACTTTACTTTGTTTTTGAAGGATTTAGGGTTTATGGATTTCAGGTTTACAATTTGGAGATTAGGGTTAGGTTTGAGAATTGAAGTTAAGGCAATGCATTGATTAGTTGTGATCCTATATTATATTATTATATTAGACTAATGCTATTAATTAAAATTCAAAATTTTTATGTCTTCAGACTAGTTTTAGAGTTGGGTGCATAATATCCACTGATTTTTGTGACTGTAACATAGAAGGCACCATATATATATGACAGAGGGTAGCGTACGTCTGATACATGCTAACATTACTATTCATTCAACTAGTTTTACTATTTAGATCATGAATTAACCAAAGTTTGAGACATGTATTACACCCTAACCTCCCACGAGTGAACCCTATGACTTCTAAATCCAAACTATCAGATTCATTAATTAACTTAAAGCAGGAGATTGAGAAACAGGAGCTAGAATGTTTCCAAGAATAGAAGGAGGTGAGTAATTAACTAGAGGTAGGAATGTGTGAAGTTGTTCATAACTCATATATGTATGAGATGGGATTGTAATTGTCCCAATCAGGATTAAACGGAGAATAAACAGGTATTGGTGAGTCATTGTGTGTGAATTCAGGTTTAAAGAAGAAGAAGAAAAAAAAGAAATATAGTTTTATAAAAACAACATCTCTGAAAATATAATCCTCATTTTGGGTAGGCGATTCGTGTCGAACCGATGTCAATCGTCATTTGTGATATCATGGACAAGGAACATATAATTTGCACAAAAATCATTCAATATTTACTTTAATTTGATTTGAAGGATTTTGGGTTTATGGATTTACAATTTGGAGATTAGGGTTAGGGTTCAGAATTGAAGTAGGGCAATGCATTGATTAGTTGTGATCGTATATTATATCATCATATTAGACTAATGCTAATAATTAAAATTCAAAATTTGATGTCTTAAGACTAGTTTTAGAGTTGGGTGCATAATATGCACTCATTCGTGTGATTGTAACGTAGAAGACACCATATATGCTCATCGTATTGTACGTCCAACGAGTTTTGCTATTTAGATCATTGTTTAATCAAAGTTTGAGACATGATGTTAGAAACCGAACAGAAAAATTAGGTTTACCGAATCTGGCTGAGTCGCGGACTAGGTCGCTCTCTTTAAGACATTCGCGGCACTGCCTCGTAATTTGCACAGCAGACTATCAGCCGGTCGCCTCCAGGATAAAACAACCATTCTGATTTATTGCTCATCGGATTTGTGCGAAAACCGGAGCTCTATGAACTCACTCTCTCTCGTGTTTCTGCTCTTCTGAGGTGTGTTTAGAGGGTTTGGGGGGGGGGGGTCTGCTATTTATAGGAGCAGAAAACCCAGAATATTCCCTCTTTCTTTGGGAATAAGTCACATTTTAATTAGGGAGATAATTACTCCCATAATTAAAATATAATCTATTAAGATAATTAATCCTAATTATCTCCATAATATTCATGTTATTAATTATCGATCTTATTTTCGTATTATGGGAAAATACTGGATAATTAATTAGGAATTTCATTTATAGCTTTTCAAAGCTATTCATCCCAACAATCCCCCACTTGAATAGTTTTGAAACTATCTCTGAGCATCAACAGTTCCATAAGATCGGGCATAAGCTAAGGTATCGCGAAGATTTGAACCTTAGCGTAGTGGCTACACTTCCGATTTCATAAGGGTGACTCGTAGTCTTGAACCCTATCTCAGACAATGTAGCACACCAGATCTTTTCGTTGAGTGATATTCTCTCATAGGCCGTGCGTTTATGGCCATGCACGTTATCCCGGTTTAGTGAATGCTCTATCAACTTTGTGCCTCCAAAGTTCCATAGGGAGCGACCCCACTCCCACATTCACATAGGTGAGTCTATCAGGAGTACCCCCAAAGTAAAGTACTCCACCCCACATAGGGTATAGATCTCATTAAGAGTTATTAACTCAACCTCCATTGCTTTGGGATTCATGCTTCACTATGCATGAACTTTTTGCATACTACTCATGACTTGTTATTACCCATTGAACCCATTTCTTGGGATCTCCAGTCTATTGGGTCGGGTTACCATCACTTGTAGTCCGTGGTTCGGTAGGCATAAGTCCCATACCCTTGGTAGTACTTTGGACTTTCTCTCTAGATAATCCTTTCGTCAAAGGATCAGCTAGATTCTATTAGGACCTTACAGGATCCACCCTCATTGCTCCTATCGTTAGGAGTTCTCTTACAGCACTGTGCATATGACGAATTTGTCGTCTCTTTTCGTTCTAGAACTGGTTCCCTTCTTTAGTAATAGCTGCAACGCTATCACAATGAATCAACTACCCGAGGGATCGGTCTTTCCCATAAGAGAATCTCTAGTAATGACCCTCTCAATAAACTTTTCTCTTTACTAGCCATATCATTTCTGATTTCTTAGTTGATTGAGCCAGGATCGTTTACTTCTTAGAATTCCAAGACACAACACTTTCGCTGATGTTTAAAGCATGTCCACTGGATGCCTTGGAATCTTTTTAATAGACATTTAGTTATTTGTTTATTGTGATTCGGATTTGATTGTTAAGAATTGTTTATGTGGGTTGATTTGGGGATAGGTTAAGATTAATAAGTTGGGGTAGTGATAGGTAATTTTAGTACTTAAACTATGAGGCTACCTAGAAATGGTTAAGCAAGATTAAACCTAAACCTATTATTATTATTTTCTCTCTCTCCCTCTCCCTTTGGCTGCCGAGCCTTCTTCTTCCTCTTCTCCTTTGGCTGCCGCGACAGCGCCCCTTCTTCCCTCTCTTCTCTTGATCAAACCCAAAATCCACTCCTCTCTCCATTTTCTAAATCCCCGGATCAATCCCTAGTTGATCCTAATCCCTAATCCCTAGGTAGAGCTCAGACTCGAGTTCTAT